GATATAAAGGATCTTTTCTGGGGGAAAGAAAAATACAATTCATACAATGTAGATGAAACAAACAACTGAACACATCATGAGGATTATTCTACATTAAATTTCTGCCCATAGTTCCCTTTCACCTAAATCTTACACACTGGACCTTTAAAAATGTATTCCTATCCTACTATACAGCATACATTCTCTGGTCTAAACATAGGCTTATCCTGGCACTTGTTTACATAAGTCTACATAGTAAGAAAGGAAAGGGCAAAACACGTTTATAGCATAGGCATATTACTGTTAATATTGGGTCTTGTAATTAATAAAAAGGTAAGACATTTTGGCTGATTGCCATCAAAAATTTCAGCTTGAGTTTTTAATCTAAATATTATTCTCTCCATTATATATGTTGTATACTTTGTCAATCCACCCATGCAACTAGCATAACAATGTATTTTAATTAAAACATTTCTGTAAATATCTCTTGAAATGAACAAGGGGAATTACAGAACATGTTGGACGCCTGTTTTTGTGGGATTATCGTAATATTATTTATACATTAGCTGAAGCACTATAATTAGAAAGAGAGAGTTGGACTTCTTTAGTTTTGGTCTGTCAAATCTTTTTTCTTCTTTTTTAGCTTTTATCAGAGGTAAAAAGTTTGCTTATTAAATGTTTTAACTACCTCATCTCCTGACAGCACACAATATATTTATATTCTGCTATTCCTATTGTTGTTGTTGTTGTTGTTGTTGCCATGCCGAAGACATTGTCACGAAATTGATCCAGGTAGAAATAAAAATCTTCCGGAAGTGACGTACAGTTCGATGGGGTCAAAGTTGAGAAAAACCTGACGCACTTCCTTTCCTGGTAGCGGCGGCGATAGAACAGCATCAGTGAGTGAAACTTCTCTTCAAACAATCTTCCGCCATCGTCTGTAATCCGGACACTATGATAGTTTTAATGGCTCCACACCGGTGTTAACACGTCCTGCAGTCGAGACTTGGTTAATATTTCCGTGTGTGTTACTCAGCTGAAACAAATAAGAGGAATATTTATTTCGGTGCTTCGTCTCCGTCCCTCTGATTCCAACATGGCGACTTCGGGTTTCACGTGAACTCCTCGTTAAAAGAGCTCATGTCCCACGTGCAGACAGTCCATTGTTTCCCCTCTGGTCACATGTTGATTTAACTGTGTGTGTGTTTATGTGTAAGAGTTAGAAATTAAGGCGAAGTCCTGCCACACGATGTAAATGAGGCTAACTCGGGGCTAATGCTAACATAGCACTGGGACAGTAAATATCATAGTCAAGCTCCTGTGGGATAACCCCACATCTCAAGCTTCAGTTCCACAGCGGTGATGTGTGTAAAGCGCTGATCTCTCTGTAGCATCACTGAATCTAACCGTGTTCTCATTGTGGCAGAAATGGGCAAGTTTATGAAGCCTGGGAAGGTGGTGATGGTCCTTGCTGGACGCTACGCCGGGCGCAAAGCTGTCATCGTCAAGGTAAGACCGTGTGTGTGTGGAGGGTGCAACACCCGGAAACACACAGGCCGTTCTAGGCCAGGACTCCCATCTATTATCCAGTAAAAATCTGACTGACAGCAGCTTGTTTGATTGATTCTGTGAAACTGAGGATATTTGCCACATCTTGTATTTAAGACAAATACTTTGTGTTTATAGGAAACACTGACACACTTCCTGTTGGGAATGTTTCCCTGAGACATGATTTATCCAAGCAGGAGATTTCCTTTCTTGCTCAAAAGTCATTTTCACAGTTGAAGTTTGTCTTTTACATTTGAAGAACACAGCCGAAGGCTCTCCTTGTCAGACGTGTTCACAACAGGGAAATCAGTGATGCATCTGGGTAGAGCATGCAGGAGGCAGGGTGTGTAGTTTATACTGTGGAAATCACTTTGTCTTTAGCAGCAAAATCTCTTATCTCCAAGTTTGTCTTCACAGCCTATGGCTGCGCTTTTTCACCCAGGGATATTTACATTCTTCCTGTCTCGCATCAGTAAAAGAAGTGAAATTCAACTAATGCATCTAAAACAGAAATCATTTCAGAATCATTTTCTGCAGTAAAGATACCATACCAAGTTATTTGATCTGTGGCAGCAAAATGCTTCATGTTGTTCATTTTGGGGAAAAAACTTGTTAACAGACTATAAACATTTGCAAACCCAACAACATTGAGGCATTAAGGAACCTTTAATTTAACGTTTCACATACATTTACATTGTCTGAGGCGAATTGTCTTGCATAAAATTATCTTTTTCAGCTGGAGTTGCATTTTAGCAGCACATCTGTCCTCCCGGTGTGTGTGTGTGTGTGTGTGAGACATCATCTGCAGTTACTCACAACCTCTTCGTTAACCTGTCTTTGCAGAACATTGACGATGGCACCACCGACCGCCCTTACAGCCACGCTCTGGTCGCAGGCATCGACCGCTATCCCCGTAAGGTCACCACAACCATGGGCAAGAAGAAGATAGCCAAGAGGTCAAAGATCAAGGCCTTTGTCAAGGTGTTCAACTACAACCACCTCATGCCCACCAGGTCAGTGTCTGAAGAAAATACTACTCACTTGTGGTGAAATATTCCATCAGTGGTCAAGATTTCATTTTATCTATATTTTGACTGACGGATACACTACAGTTAAAGTGGTTTTCACTAAAAAACGTCCCATTGCTGAGCTTGTCAACAAGATCCTACAAAGTCAACCAAATAATTACTACTGTTTAATAAATATTTCCTCCATCTTCCTAAACTTGTGCGATGAATCGTTTGGTGTCTTAGAATATTTCATCTTTCATGTTTACCTGTTGTGAGCAATTCTTTGAAATGAATTGAAGGACAATTGTGTGCATTAGAGTTACACTCAAAACTGTATCAGAAGACTGCCTTATTTTCAGTTACTTTTTTCCTTGTGTGAACATTCAACATAAAACTAGTGTGTTTGATAGACATGTTGTATCAGCAGTTTTCCTCTTTATACACAAGTCTGTTAATATATCTTTAGTCTCTAGCTGAACAAAAACTCTCCTTCAGTGGACAAGGTGTTCAGTGATCTTTGAAAATCATAGCCATCCTGCATGAGTGGTTTAGTTCCCACATAGTCTGGAATCATCATGAGCTTTACTGTCATACTCTGATAGACGATAAGCTGTTTGATAGGTTGTGTAAATAAGAAGTTAGATGTTGTTTTTAAAAAATATAATTAGCCGTGGCTCTATTGCTGCTGAAAATGAAGGTAGTTTAGATGGCTTAAACGTGTTCAGACACAATGCATGCTGTATGTTCTGGGTCCAACCATGACCTCAAATATTAGATTTCACAATTTAATGACCAAAAAGTTCCCATATGAGTGGTAACCTGTGGGTTGGTCAAGGGAGCCAGGTCTGTGTCTACCAGCTTGTCCTTAGGGGTAGATTCCCCCTTATAGGAAAAGACTGGAGCTTCTGTACACACGATGTGGATACGCAGTCTGCTTCTAAACTATATTGAACTCAGTTGAAGAATTTGGGTGTGATTTGACATTTTGGAAAGAAAATGTGTGTGAATTTCTTTGAACACAGGACAAATTAACTCCTCCAGTGATCATTGACTTATAACACTTCCTGGTTAAGAGCTCACAATCTATTAAAAGTTGTTGCTCATTTGGCTGATTTATTCTCTGCATCAGTTTTGGACTGAACAGACACATGCTTTGACTAACAGGTCAATTATCTGATGTTCACAGTTGGTCACATTAAAATAACAACCTGGACAAAAGAATGAAATTGAGTAAATGGTTTTAAGTTGCGTCCTGGCTGCTCTGGTGTCAAAGCACTTGGAGTTTTTTCGGTGAATGTGAACATGGATAGTCGAGCTCGATGTGGCCTTGCAGGATGTATACAGCTTGTCTTCATTTAGCTCTTTTTTCTCTATCAGATACTCTGTGGATATTCCTCTGGACAAAACTGTCGTCAACAAGGATGTCTTCAGGGATCCTGGTCTCAAGCGCAAAGCCAGGCGGGAGGCCAAGATCAAGTTTGAGGAGAGGTGAGTCTCCGTCAGAGTCAAGGATTCTTTTTTCCTGTAACATCTTAGTGTCTGTGTTCAAATGAAACTAATAGGAGACTTCAAGATATAATATGCGGCAATTTTTCATTACAGTGTCTGAAAGCAACTTGACCGTTGCTATGTTTTGTTAACTTGTGTACTTAACAATGTTAAAATCCAGAAAATATTGTCTACTCCAAATATGTTCAGTTTAACATTGATAGTGAGTAAAGTTTCACTTTTTTGCATTGAAACTGCTGCAGTATCCAGCTGAGTGTGTGAGCTGCTGGTTTACATTGGTTTTCCAGACCTGATGTCATGAATAATCATTTGTCCTTTTTTTTTCCAGGTACAAGACGGGCAAGAACAAGTGGTTCTTCCAGAAGCTCAGATTCTAAATTCACTCGGTTTCACAAATAAATGTTTAAAAAATGAACAAAGTGTTTGTTCCTGTTTTTGACACAATGTCTTTTCAAATGTAAACTACCCATTCATTCAGACAAACCTTTAGTGTTACTTCTTATGAATTGTTAAAACAGACAAAGCAGGAGGAATTTTAGGAAATTATAGATCTCTCTGAACTAAGCTTGATGTATTGATCTGCTGGTGTGGTCACTGATGAGTTTCATACAACTGATCCATTTAAGTTACAATACACTTACAAACCATTTACTATGATCTGATCTGCCTCTGCTTACAACAGTTTGACTTTGCCTCTTTTTTCCCCACCATCACTGTGCCACTCCTTGCACAATGATCTGCCGGAGACTTGAGGCTCTTGTTTATAATGTTGTCATTACAGATGCCATGAAATAATCTGAAATCTCAAGAGAAATCATGGTGTGTGAACATGTCGGACTGAATCAGTCTTAACATCCTTCACATGGTGGAATCATTCAGAAGATCATATTTGTACAAGGTGCCACATGAGATTATGCCCCAGACAGTGACAGTATTGAAAGAATATACAGTAGAAAGGTTTCATTTTATTTTTACTGATGGAGATTAAAGTTGCTCAACATGTATTTTTTTTGTTTTTTTTTTCATGGATTTGTCAACAGGCAGACCTGAAACACACTTATAGATAGAAAGGAGCAAGTATCAGCTCAATTCATCACTCTCTAAGAAAATCATTAGAAACATCACTCAAATAATCATTTAGTGCTGCCTGTACATGGTGGGACATTTTCACACAATCAGGGCTCTCTTCTTGTTGGACAGGAATATGTGCCAATCGTGCCAGAGAAACCTGGTTTTCGGGTTGCAGACGCCGCCCTCATCGCATGTGTAGTTGCTAGGACAGCAGTGGATCATGTCACTGCAGCACACTGCCTGTGGGGAGGACAGGAATAAAGAATCAAGCTTAAGTTCATAAAATATAATTAAAGACTTGTTACAGAGCGACTTTTACTTAAGGGTCAAAAGTATGCCCCCTTCAGGGTGTTATATTGACGATAACCTGAAGTATTTGACATAAAACGTATAGCTACACTAAGAAAATTCAGGATCTGCCCCTTATGACGCATCCACACCCACACCAACATTTAAAAAGTTGCATAGTCTCCTAAATGTGCCTGATTTTTTTCCCATCAAGATCCATGAATTATTCCCTGATGAAAAACATAAATGCTCCAACAATGTTAGAGATAGTGATAATAAAGTTCCTGGTTATGCACCAACATTTATTGAGCTCTTTCTTATACCATGTCACATCAAGTTTCAAGGAAATCAGTACTGTAATTTCTGCAAAATCCTACTGAAAACACTCGTAACTATATCTTTCAGACAGATGTGCCGGAGGAAAAAGTATATTTCCCACCAAAGTGCAAGTACCTCAGAATTGTAGTTAAGCACAGTATTTGTGTTTCTAACACATCCATTTTCTTCCTCCTCAATGTCCTGCTTCTATGACCAATACACATTATATCTGGATAATACTGACAAAACACAAATATCCCAATATTTGTGAGTAACTACCTTAATATTAAAGGTCCAGTGTGTAAGATTTAGGTAAAAGGGATCTATTGGCAGAAATTGAATATAAAATAATCCTAGTTATGTTTTCACTACTGTGTTTCATCTATATTGGACAAATAGTTGTTTTTTTTACCCTTGAATGGGCTCTTTAGATTTACATTATTTTTACATCAGGAGTGGCTCCTCTACGGAGTCCACCATGTTTTTTACATTAGTCCAGACTGGACAAACTAAACACCTTTTGAGTTTCTATGACAACTGAAGGCTACCACAGGTTTTCTTTCATGTTTGGAAGGGGAGGGTGAGGTGTATTCAGCTGCAACATGCAATTTCACGACTGTGTAGGATGAAAAGGGATTAATCATCGGAATGGACCATCATACCCATAATTTTCTTTTGATTAGTGTATAAATCACCTGAAACTAAGAATCTTTTTTTTTTTTCTTTAGATTTTTTAGAGTTTTTTGTATCTACATCAGGAGCAGATTGGCCATGTTTCTACAATAGTGGACTTTCTACATTTGTTGGAAACCTGATGGCCACCACTGCTTCTCCTGCATGAGGATTAAGGGGAGGTGTTTTTAATTTGTTGTAATGTGCAACTTCACCACTGGATGCCACTACATCCCACATGCTGATCTTTTAAAGCTGGTTGAGTTGGGTAGAACTCTTTGTAAATTGCTTCTAGTTTTTACTCCCAACAATTGCTTTGTAGCAGATAACTTTATCAACAGATAACTATAAAGATGTGACTTCACCGTGACACATCAGATAACTATAAAAAAAAGCCCATTTAAATGTATCATTTGATATTGAATGTGATACAACATCAGATCAACAAAAGCACATTTGAGAAGCTGGAGCCGTCAAACATTTGCAACTTCTGCTTCGAAAATGACTATTTCCTCAAAACACGCCCCTTACTGTGCTGAGGTATTAGCTCTATTTGATAGTGAACCAGTAACTTTTCACTGTAAATCATACATGAGGAAATGGACAGCAGCCCCATGTCGTGGCGGTCATCCTGCAGCAGGTCATTCCATCCTCGCAGCTGGTCTGATCATCACAGTGGACTTCTCTGTGCTCTACGGGAGTGGGCCGGGGTAGATTCTCAGGCAGGTAGACGGGCGTCAGCGGGACAGTCTCCAGCAACATGATGAACTTGTGACAGGAACTGGAGCCGATGTTGCAGCTGTAGCCCTGTGGGCAGCAGTGCTCCTTATCTGGGCAGCACACAGCCTGCACACAGAGGGTGGGTGGCAGTTACCTCCCTTATTTTACATAAGCAAAGTATGACAGTATGCTGATAGTGAGATGTTATATTTTCATGTGAAAGAAGCTGCTCTTCTCTCCATCAATTTTTACCTCCAGGTCATCAGGCTTTTTAATTTAATTCACGTCCAACATTCCTCTGCATACTGCTTGTCTTTGTATATAGCATTGTACTTGATTTTCTGATTGCCTTATTTCTTCTGATTTGATTGTTTTATAATGAGCTATATTTTATTGTATCTTTTATTTTTGTGTAGATTTTTTTAATTCACACTTTGTATATTTTTTGTCTTTCTTATGCCATTGCTCTTACTGCTGAGCTGACCTGTTGTCTTGTCCAACACTTTTCATTGTATCATGTGTTAACTTACATATGACAATAAAACTACACACACACACACACACACACACACACACACACAGAGTGCTCACATTTTCCAGTGGGCAGCAGCCGCACTCGCCCGTTTGGAGCTGACAGCAGGTGGTGTGTTCAGGGCACTGATTCAGAGCGTCGCACTGCACAGAGCCAGACTCATCCTCAACACTGCTGGTGGTGGTGGCTGCGAGCTTGGTGTACCACGGGATCACCAGCTCTCCTTTGATGCAGGACGTCTCATTCTCATCACACTTGTAGTGGGCCGGGCAACAGTGCTCCCCATCATCACAGCACACCGCCTGGAGGGAAGTGAGAGAGAGTGCTACTCTCATGTCTCTGATCCTGTTTTTTTACTTCCCCTTTAATCGCTGTGAAAGAATAAACTCAGATCCTAAAAACACGAGAGCTGCAAAATGATTCTTCAGGCTAAACTGTGACATTTATACTTGATAAGTGCACGGTGGATCTATTGGACCTTGATGCCACAGCTCCAATCTAGGATCACCTCTGCACAGACACAGATAATGTATGGATGTTAGATGAGGATCCATGAATTATCCTCTGAGAAATTAGTGAAGAGCCCAATCTTACAATGTTGAAGACAATGGAAAATAATTCCTGGATCTGCCCACTGATCCAGATCCAGATTAAATAAATTTTTTCCTGACCCATACCACAATTACACCAAGTTCTGTGGTAATCTGTCCATATTCTAGTTTAAACCTCCTTAAAATGAAGTGAAAAGAACATTCAGCCAAACAGCTCTATCACGTGTCATCATGAAATAAATCACATTGCATATATGTGTCCGCAAGATGACACCCTCATCTCTTTGTCCTTAATGACGTCACATTTCAAAGACTAAATATTAAACCACATGCAAAAATATATGATGTCAAGAAAATGCGAGGCTGACCTCTGGCAGTGGGCAGCAGCCCCACTGTTGCGTCTTGGCTATGAGGCAGCAGGTCATGTGCTGAGGGCAGCTGGTGTGGTCGTCACACTTATTGCTGCTGTCCACTTCTTTATGCTCCTCCTCCTCTTGTGCTGTTGGTCTCTCATCCCTCTCAAGTGCCGTCTCAGATTCCACCACCTCTGTCTGCGGGAAGCTTGGTAGCTGACTTAGTATTGTAGTGGCTGCTGTAGTGGTCGTGGTAGCCGGCGTGGTAAATGCAGGCATCTTCTGTTTCATGGGCGTCATGCCAACGGTGCCCTCACAGGTGAGGGTGGTCATGTCACAGGTGGTGTCATGGGGACAGCAGTGCACGTGGTCATCACAGCAGACCGCCTTTTGTACAAAAGGACAACAATGCAATGTTTAGTCCCAAACATTCAGTGGTTCTCAGGGATCTCTCGTAAAGACTCTATTCACTTGGGGTCTGAATTCTCCTTGAACTTCTTAAAAGTTAGTCTCACTAATACAGTCTTCTATTGTACAAAGTCTTCATCCGGGCGGTAATTAATGTTTTGTTTTAGTTTACATCTGGTTTTTTTTCATCTGTGACATCTCTCTGAAATTCAAACTGCTTTTAATTCTTACCGTTGTTGTTGCCCCTGTCCCTTTGTTGGTTGTTTGTTTTGTTCATTAGCAAGATTATGCAAAAAAGATTGAATCTATTGGTGGGAGGATGTGGTATGGGTGGTATTGGCATGAATCTGGATCAGGGGCTGGATCCAGGATTTTGGATCTTGATTTTGTTTTAAATCTGACGTATTTAGGGAACTGATATCTAAGTGTGTGTGTAATAATAATAACAATCATGATGATTATTTTTATTATATCATATGTTGTTTGTTAGGATGAAGAGAGATAACTATTTAAGTGCAGAGAAAAATATATCATATTATATATAATATTATTATATATATAATATTGAATCCCAGCCCATCCTGGGCAAAATGCAAAATGCCTGGGGAGGGCAGGAACCTTCTCAAGCCACGGCACGGAGCGTGTGACATCGTTGGCCGCAAGGTTGCACCACTCACCTTTTGGGCAGCAGTGTTCAAAATCTTGACAGCAAACAGCCTGGAAGTTTTATGCATTTACTTTCTGAACTTAACTGTTAGACCATTGCAAAAACATAAAAATGACAGTATTGTACCTCTTGCAGAGGACAGCACGCCCAGCCGCCATCCTTGGTTTTACAACATGTTTGGTCATCTTGACAAGAGACGGTGGAGTTGCATGCAACACTCCCCACTTGTGCGTCCTGCCTGGGGTGGGCAGGAACCTTCTTGATCATCGGTACAGAGCATGTGTTGTCCTCGCAGGTCAGGGCGGTCAGGTTACACTTCTTTCCTTTTGGGCAGCAGTGTGTGAAATCTAAACAGCAGACAGCCTGGGAATGATATGGTTGAAAAGAAAATAAGGGGAAGCATCAATGCACCACTGAAATCGTTCACATCACAAGTGTTATACTTTGAAATAAAAATTTTGCTGTACCTCTGGTAGAGGACAACAAGCCCACTCATGGTCTTTGGTCTGACAGCATGTTGTGCCGTCTAAACAGGCTACTGTATCATTGCATGGGACATCATTACCTGGAAGAAATTACAACAATAATGCTGAGAAAATAAAATCTGGTTTCCTTTTTGTCTGAAATCAAAGAAAGGCAAATAAACAACAAAAAAACTTCTCTCAGTGGTGTGAAGTTGTCAGTATTTAAGAGATAATGTTGGTGATTTACTGTATTTTTCTTTCATCACAAAATCTCATGAAAAGTTTTGGCGGGAAACTGAATGCAAACATAACTTTACAACTTGAATTTTACAATAAACATTCAAAATCATGCAGCTTTGCAACACATTAACACAGGACAAAATGCAAAATTTTGATTTTAATGTATTTTTCCGTTGAAAGACATCAGTCATACTGATGCTTTTGAGAAGCAAACTATTACACACTGCTCAGAACAACACTGCTGAACAGCCATTGTTAATGCTACGATACTACGTACAGGCACAGTGAATGCAGAAGTACTGTTGCTTAAAAGCTTCCCTGTTCACAAATCTTCTTTTGTCAAAGCAGAAAAGGCTGTAATGTCTACCATCAACTATCAGCTGTATCAATAAGTCATGCACTCACATTTAACAGAATGACACCATCAATAATATTATCCAAACAAAATATTGGACTTTCGAAAAGTCTGTTGGTGAATTTCTACCTTAAAGGCTCAGTGGTATAATGACCATAAGCAACTGTTCTCATTATGTTTGTTGATGTTTCTGTGATATTCTTATAGGTGTTGTCACTGTGCTGTGTCCTTTGGTGCATGGTGAAAAAAACCTCACCTCCAACCCCTTTTGTGACAGATGGCACAGATGCTTCCTGCTCTGAAGGGGGAACTGTGTATGCCGTGGTGACCTTTTCTGATTCACCATCATTAGCTGCCTCGGCAGTCACTACTTCGACCTCTGAGAGTGGAAACATGCACAGTTAAGGCTGCGTGAACACACACAAGCACACAGATTTAGACAGTGAATAATTAGAATAAGGTTTGTTTTTTGTCTACAAACAAAAACGGATCTAACTTTTCCTGTTCTCCCACTCTGCTCTGATCCTGGCGGGGAGTTTGGACCACATTGGCATCTCTTTTTTGGTGGATGAGGAAATACATTTGGAGTTTTGGATATCACATGTGCACCCTTCAGGGCAGCAGTGCAGCTTGTCCTCACAGCAAACGGCCTGTTGAGAGCACAGAGACAAACATTGAATATCACCTTAGAACCACACAGGACAAGAAACCATAAAGTCATGATAACAAGGCGTCAAGGCTCAACATGCAAATCCATCATATGACTTTTTACTCATTCAAAAGCTCACATATGCTATGGGGGAACATTGGCATTTCAAAGATGACACAGTCACTTTGTACCTCTAGCATTGGGCAGCATCCCCATTCGCCTTCCGGGCCTTCACAGCAGGTTGTTTGATCCGGACACTCTGACACTCCGTCGTTGCACAAAACAATAGGCCCAAGATCTGCAACAAAACGACAAGCAATGTTTTCTTTTTCAGATCAGATGCTGAAACAGGAGAGGTCCCAGAATGGAGCCTTGGGGCACTCCACATAATTATTCCGTGCTCAGATGTGTAAATACCAATTAACAGGAAATAGGCAACTTGCAAAGAGGGATCACACTAACAACAGTGTGGAGCTGAACTGAAAAGACCCAGACACCTATCCAGTCTGTCTGGTTACATGTTGTTTTATTAATTAAAATAGTCTCACCTTCTCTGATGCAGGAGCTACCGTCTCCACTGCACTGGTGGCTCTCTGGACAGCAGTGTTTGCCATCGGAACAGGGGACTCCCTGATGGAGGTCAGAAAATCAAGAACAGTTTACTTAATAATTACAATACGAACTGAATTCTGCACTGCTGTTATCACTTTTACTCTTTGAGTGATAACTGCATTGTTTTAAGGAGAAGTGAGATGTCTGTCTATACTGGTAAACTCTAAACTGGTAGAGTCTGCCTGTACCTGTCTCTGTGCTGCATTGTATGTATGTACTGATGCTATAAATACAAATAACAGATTACTTTGCGATAAAAAAAGGGGAAAATAACTTAAATATTTTATTTCCCACAATAGCAGAAAATCATGCTTATGCTAAGTGGAGCATCTTAGCTTGTTAATCAGGGGGCCAGATTGTGACCAAAAACAACTGGGCTTTTAAAAAACATCTTTCATATATGCACACACAAACCATCAGAATTATTGTGGTTTAACAGTGGACTCCATTGTGTGCTTGGTTTTGATCACCAATCTGTTCTTTTAAATAAACTTAAAATTTCTGGTGAGATTTGTCACTTATAGGACCTCTCTGCAATTATTTTGAAAGAAATCCCTGAAGAAACATTTATCCCGACATTTGTGTGGTTATTACTGCTTTTTGTCTGTTATACTTAATATAGTATAACAGTAATATTCAATGATGACATATTTATAATTCAGAATCGCTATAGGTTGCATGTTTTGTGTTGGACAATGTCTGATTACCTGCGCTAGGGGACAGCAGCCAAACCTCGTCAAGGCCTTCAGGCAGGAAAACTCTGCTGGGCATCGTGATTGATCAGGACAGATGTTGTCATCTTCCTCCCCCATGTACGTCTTGATCATCCTGAAGGACTGCAGGGACAGAGTGGGGAAGAAGGACAATTTTACTGCTCATGTGACTTTGCATTACAGCAGTGTTCATTAGGGAAACAGCAGATGTCCGTTATTCTTACTTTGGAGATTCTAAGTTGATCAGCAGAAGCTCTTTCCACCCAGGGGATGGACATAGTGGCGTTATCACAGCTGGATTTGGCTGAATTGCAGACTGTGCCTGCAGGACAGCAATGTGTGTGATCCCCACAGCACTCAGCCTATGGGTACACAAGTAGTAGAATCACTTTGACTAGCAAAGTTTCAAAACTGCTATCACACAAGCTAAATGAGGCCTGAGCTTTTATCTGGCTTTAAACACCACGGAGGATGAATAGTCCCACTGTACAGCCTTAATTCTTGTAAGAGTCAGAGTACAAGACAATGGTTATCTCATACAGTATTTACATTTTACTATGTGATAGACAGAAGGAACAATGCGTTTAACTGAAGCTACTTATGACTTAGGGTTTATTTCACTGAGATGTTAATTCTGACGCATAAAAGGCTTTGAGGTTTGAATGGTGTAACTCAGCAGACGGATAAGTTGTAATTTCTTCATTTTATGTCTCTCATTAATTAGTTGTAGGTTGTACAATCACTATAAAGTTTCTATTATATTCTTTTCTAATAGTATATAATAATATAAGTCACCTGCTAACTGTAACTGGGTTCGTTTCTGACTATTTGGTTTGTTGCTGTTCTTGCTGTAACACATATAATTTGTTATTATATATAATAATATATACATTCTTGTGGCTTTAAAACTACGTTGTATGCAAGATAAAGACCAATAAGTCAGACTGCTGTTTGTAACTGATAATAATAATATTGAATTTTTGAATAATAAGATTCAACTTCAATTTAACTGCATTTTAGCGTTGTAAAGCAGTGTAAGCACATAAAAATCATCTTTACTATGAACTTTTTATTGCACATTTCCGAATATTTCAGTTGCAACTTGCTATGTAGACTTACTGAATTTGAGTAAGTCATACGACTACAGTAGATGAATGGCTGTGTTTACTGTCGTCCAAATCAGTATTTGGTCGTAGAAGTATTGAATCCCAAAGTCTGGAGCAGACCATGCAAGTGGCACAAGCTCGTCTACCTACCAGCTCCAATGGGCAGCATTCGTAACCATTTGTCGGGTCGTTGCAGCAGGTTTGACCTTGTCCACATCTCCCTCCGTCTGGACACTCTTCAGCAGCAACCAGGGCGAGGAGAGCCCAGCAGAACACTACCACCCACCTCTGCATCTGCACGCACAGGGAGAAACGCACAACACAAGCAGGGAGAGTAAAAATACATGTGGAAATCCCCCTCTCCACCCAAAATCTGAAATTACACATTTAAATTTTCACAAGACTAATTATCTTGCAAAACTATATGTACACAGCCTTAATAGCTTTTCCATGAACCTGTAATTAAAAATACAACTACTTAGTGATTAACTTGTGGAACAATATTAGACTAAATATTGTTCCACAATATTGTTCATTAGCTGAACTCACTCTTACTTCAGAGGTTGGTTCCTGATTTTGACTGTTGCAATGCTAGGCAAGTAAAACACGACTCATTTTCACTTTCAGAATAAAGTGTGGACATTTTTACAAGAAAAGATTATATCTTATAGCGAAATATTTTAAAAACATTTCATTTAGCATATAAAATGTGAATCAGTTGTAGAACTGTGTATGAAACGCTGTCAGACGTTTTTACAGTGCACTCAAAGGACCTCTTTACAAATGATGTCAGACTGTCAGAGACAAAAGAAGACGTGTTTTTCTGCTCTTACCTTTGTAAAGCACTGAAGAGCTGTTGTGAACAGTCAGGTGTCTCATGGGCGTCTCACCACACAGTAACGAAAGTGGCAGACATGAACTGTCCTAAAAACACGCCCACAAAAAAAGATATAAAGTAGGGGCCTCCCATTTCCCCTATTACTTACACAGCTGCTCAGACATGTTTTCATCTGACAGCTGCAGTGCATGACGATGAAGTTAGATTCCGTTTGGAATTTAAGTCTTTTTTCAGTTTTATTTGATTTCATTTTCGTCATTATTATTATTATTAATGCTGTTTAACCCCAGATCAAACCCCAGCCTGCTGGTCAACAGGTCAACAATAATCCATTAAATAACCATGAGTCTGTTAGTAAAAATGCACTAAAGGGTCAATTTGACTGCTTTTACAGATCCAGACCATGTCAGACCAGGTCCACAGAGTTTGTACGTGAAAATCCTCTCATTGAAAATGAAGATTGGCTTCCTTGGTTTTCCCTTAAAGGTTAAGGCAGTAGCTCAGTCCATAGAGACTTGGCTTGGGAACTGGAGGTTGGAGAGGTGCCAGTTCACCTCCTGGGCACTGCTGAGGTGCCCTTGAGCAAGGCACCGAACCCCCAATTGCTCCCCGGGTGCCTTCATGGCTGCCCACTGCTCCCTGTGGTCACTGTGTGTATTGTGTTCTGTGCTAACACAGATGGGTTAAATGCAGAGGTCATGCATGTAGTGCTGTGTGTGCATGATTGTGGGACAATAAAAAATATGAATCTTACTTATCTTAGGAATCTTATGTGTGTAGAATTGAGTGATATGTTTAGTTTATCCAGTTTGTACTACTGTAAAAAACATGGCAGCTTCTGTAGAGAAGACCTGCTCCTGATGTAAATATAAGTTCTCATTCTAGGCTAAAGAAAACAACAATTTGTACAGTTTAGATTAAACCCATTAGTGAAAACGTCACTAGGATTATTTTATATTCAATTTCCTCCAATTTCCCCTAAATCTGCCGACCTGAGCCTTTAACAGTAAGAGCAGCTGATCTACAGAACACATGCTCGGCCGCTCTCACGCGGGATCATCGCACTACGTGCTGTTGTGTAGATCTGTGACGTGTGCGCGCAGCGCTCTCTGGTGCAATCTGCCCGGACACGCGCTCAACCCCCAAAACAAGCTGGGTTTATCTCTTCATCTGTCCCTCACCGAGGAGTTAGCTCCTCAGTGTAGCATCGCGATGCTACACACAACTATCATGGACGAAGACGACTGTTTCCTACGACAACGGCAGCTGAAGTAGAGGTGAGACACGTTGGCTAGCCCGCTGTTATCTTTCTAACACGGAATGCTAAAATGAAGCTAAGCTAGCCACGAAGCTAAACTGCAGTAGCCAGTATGACAGGGACACGAGAACAGTTCACACACTTGTATTGTAACTCAGTGCGTGTGATCGTTTCACTTAATCTAACATCTTCTTCCTCTGCTCGACCTTGGTAAGAATAATAAGTAATCGTGTGTAGTCTGTACAGCTGTTAGCCAGCTAATGGTTTTGTAAAGAGTCCATCATGTAACAGTTCCCGTCAGTGACCTTTGGGCTGTGCTGAATATCTACAGGAGTTGAAAAGCCTATAAAACACCAACCCTATAAAAAGACAAGACAAGATATTGACAATCCTTAACTTTAAAAGTATTTAGTTCTTTAATATAAAACGTATTGCGGCTTGTGATTGCCAGTGACTTAACTTGTTGAAATGTTTTTGTGTTTCATTTTGGCTGGAAACGTCATGAGTACTTTTTTCCGTTGAATGGATGATTATTTAGTTAGATTAGTTTTATTTAAATACTGGTGGATGCAAACATGCACCAGTATTTCATCATACTACAACTGCTGCTATCTTCACTGCTATTTTACTACGTACTGTGGATGTACATTACTTTCCATGAAGAACTTTTGATCTTCCAAATCCTTTTTTGCACTATTCTGGTTTGTACTACGCACATCCTACCCACTGTGTGCCTTTTGACTGCATATTATGTTGTACTATGTTGTACTATGTTTTGAGTAGATAATACGTTGTGTAATTATATGTTTGTTTCCTTATATGTTTACACCGGGGATCAGAGAAAAACTGCATATGTCCTGTTCAAATGGCAGAAGTGACAATAAAGTTGATTTCAGTTTGGATAGGTCAGACAAAATATGATAAAAGTATGATTGATCCTCTTGTACTGTGTCGTAAAGTGTAATTTTAGGTGAAGGTGATAGTAAGGTCCCAAACATCCTGTAAATGTTAAAACACATTTGCGTCAATGTTCGTTTTGGGCTTTCGTGTAGTTAGTTCAGAGGAAACTTGTTTAGGCAAAGCAGCTTATGGTGCAGACAAACCAAGTGGCTGTAGCTGTCACACTAAAGTGTATTTGAGTCCAGAAATAGGACAACTCAGGGGATGAATGGTGACTAATGGCAACCAAACAAGTAGGAAAACAGAAAAGTTGGATTCTAGATTAAGTCGTAAAAAAAAAATCTTTTTTAAAAGCCTGCTACTACCCATTCTCTCATTTTAGAAGTGGGTCATGAGGCGAAACTCTTACTGGCTGGTGAGATTGGAGGCATGAACCTCATAGATAAGCTATCCTAATGTTTCTTTGAACCCATTAAAACAACTCCACCTCCATGCATCCAGTCACTTATATGAACATCTGCTCTGCCTTTTACAATTGCATCTAGCAATTAATTAGTTATTATGTGTTAATCTGAAGATTGTTATTAATTTATCATTATATCATAACAGTTTCCTCATCTCATGGGCACATTTTAAAATGTATTGTTTTGTCCGGCCAACAGTCCAAAACCCAATATGTATTCAATATAAAATATTATTATTATTTTTCAATTTCACACAACAATTCAACTATACAAAAAACATAAATGAAATGTTAAAGTATGTGATGGGTGTGGTAGAAACCAGTATTTGCTAATATGACAAACGTACCCAGAAGATATAAAAAAGATCAAATACAAAACATACAAAGTCACTGAGTGTTAAAGAGAAATAGATTTGTATAACATTATAGTTGGAAAAACCCAGAGGGAAGAATATGTTATATTTACAGTATTCATAACAGATTCTAGGGAGCTCATTATTATTCCAAATCAAAAGTTTTAAAAGTAAAACATTTAAGTCTCTTTTATGACACAGAGGAATCCATTAAATACACATTTTCATTCAATAGGGTAAGTCCATAGAAGATGAAAATTCTTAGCCTGTCTATTTGGATAATTATGAAACTACATTTTTGCCATAGTTATAATATACAACAAGAGAAATGGAATATCCTCACACAGGAGAGGACACAAGTTTTGTTTATGTTTAATGTAAACTATGTAACTTTCACCATAACATGAGTTTGACTTGGAATATGGAGCAGGTACGGTCTCCTCTGAGAACTGTGGGATTGATTGATAGCACCAGCTTCAATTTTCAAGATCAGGTCCAGCAAGTTCAAGAGTAATGCTGAAATTTAAATTAATTGAAAATAACTTAGAATTCATAAAAAAACGAAAATTTATCTCCAATTTAGTGGGGAAACTTTCAAAATATGAAGACTGCTAAACAGAGTTTGGTGTATTTGTTACAGCAGCAGCTTATCTGGTTCTGGAAGCTGGGGATCATGGGTACTATCCGCCCAGTGAACGGGCTCCCCTCAACACATCGATAGGATTTGTTTTGTCTCTATGTGAAAACCATTTAATCGCTCGGAAAAGGGGCCCAATTGATTCATTCACCACAAGTGGCTGCAGAGCGCAGAGGGCGGAGTCCCTCAGTAAAAGTTACATAGTGTTACACATTTTGCATTTCTGAGTATGTGGGAAAAAAACAGAAATGTTGCTGATCCTGTGTGACATGAACATAACAAGTAGGCCATAATAAGCCATATTCAGCGTTTGAAGGAGTCAGGAAACAGGAAGTCTGTAAAGTTACAGGACTTACAGGTTTTCCAGGCTGACCCACTGTGGTGTTTCTCCTGGTCTGACAGGTAGACAGGATGGGGGACCGGGCCGTCAGTGGCCGCCAGGCTGCGATCTCTCCAATGCAGCAGATGCTGGCCTCTGGAACTGGAGCCCTCCTCACATCTTTATTTGGTGAGTCATGTAGATTCTAGAAAAAGCAACTTAATAAGTCTGTAAAAGTTTTTGTGTCTTTTTTTATTCACACTGACGGATGGTTATTTTATTGTTGCTCAATAAATCAATTTATAATGTCTATAAAATATTCTTATACAATTCCTTTCTGCATGCATCAGTGATGTCCGTGTTTTAAGCCACATTTAATGAAAATTGGCTCCAGCTCCACCAGCGACTCTCAAAGGGTTAGGGTACCTGTATCTGGTACAATTCACATGGACTCACTGATCAATGGATTCGATTTCGGTGGTTAAAGGTTAAGGCCACGTTGGCCTCTAAAAACGGCGGGGGCACACAGCCGTAGCGTGGTCATTCTAGTTGAATGCAGTTATTATTAAGGGTTTATCCAAGTAGTTTAGTTGATTATTGACCAATCTATCATCTACTTTTCATCTTGTGTCGTAGAAATGAAATGAATCGTTTGTTTTTGCAGTCACGCCGCTGGACGTTGTGAAGATCCGGCTGCAGGCTCAGCAAGCACCGTTCCACAAAGGTATGACGAGGTCCCCCTTTAGCTTTTTGATCTAAAACCCTGACTTTGCCTTTACCAGCTGCTTATTGACGCCACTTTTATCTCAATGCTTTTCTAACACCACTACACTCGTCTTCGCCTTCTGGTTTATTGTGCTTTGTCTCTTTTCCCTTTCTCTGTCCTCCTCTGTGTTATCTTTCACAGCTTTAGCCTGTGAGTCTGCTCCGTGGGGCGGCGTCATCCGCCCTTCAAAGTGTGAGTATCTGACCTGCCGTCCCTGCACACCGACACAGCTTTGTGTTCATGGCCACATGCGACAAACAATCACATACATCCATGTGAATGATGAAAGTGTGTCATGTAGTTATCAGAGTCTACAACTTGCCGGAGGTTTTGTTTATCTACCCTTTTCTACAAAATACTCCCTTTCCCTTTTTTCCTTTCTTCATACTTTTAGACTTCATTTAAAATCACAGGGAAACTCTCTTTGGTTGCATGGCGGTCATACTTTGGAGCTTACACATCAACTTGTAAATAATAGTTACTGTAAAATGGTATTTGTTTTAATCACATGGCATTTTAACGACATTGCACAAGTGTGTGTCCAGTTTTGTCGGAAACTCTGTGTCTCTCTTACCAAAGAAAAACAGTGTTCCTGTTTCCTGTGCTGTTATCCACAGTGTTAAATAGAAGTTGGTTTTGAAATGATACTTTTTTAGAGTTCGTTTGAAAGTTTTGTCAATAGACTGTAGTTAAATCAGTTCTAAACTAACAGGCTGAGCCCAAACGTTATCTCCTGAGTGGCTCTGCGGTCATTGCCTTCACATGTGTTATATTTAGTCTCCTGTTCTCTCCTCTGTACAGGATGTTTGACATCAATTCAGAAAACATGGAAACGGAATCAGCTCACACTAATATTGCGAAATGCTACTTTCATTAATGGCTTTGTTTTTAGATTCTCTTGCTTGGCTATAACCTCTGTTAAGGCTGCAGCTGTCTTGTAATTTGAATCTGCTGACTGCTGGTTGTTCTGCCTCTCAGGGAAATGTTTCCTGTATTGTAATGGACTGATGGATCACATCTACGTTTGTCAGAATAGAACCAGTTGCAGCAACTGGTACAAAGCACCGACACATTTCAGCGGAACTTTAGTGAGTACTGGTCGTGTGGCTGCATTATTTTTTTTATTTTTCCTCCTCTTAAAAAATTTAAATTTCATCTTGTGTGTTTGTGCCACAGGATGCTTTTGTGAAAATCAGTCGACATGAAGGACTCAGGTCTTTGTGGAGTGGACTACCACCAACACTGTGAGCTTCTAACCTGTCATCAACAAAATCAAAAAATCACCAAATTATTTGGTCACCCATGCACTGCAGCATTTAACGGTTGTTTTCTTGAATTAATTTGGTAAATGTATAGTAAATTGAAAACTGAAGAATGCTCCTTGCAGTCACCCTCAAATTCTTTTTGAAATAACAGTATAATTCGAAAATATATAACTTACAACGATGTGAGACCAAGAAAAGTAACAAAATCTCACATTTGATAAACTGGAATCACAGGATGTTAAACCGAAAAATTACTTGTAGTGTTTAGTGTCACGACGGATTTTTCCATCAATTGACAAATCAACTCATTATTCCAGCACAAAATAAAAACTAGCGCAAAGGGCTGCATTCCTCCCCATGTGCTGGGAACAGTTTTTAGACTGTGGTAGATGATTAAAGATACTTTTCCTTGTTGTCACTGGATATTAAATGTGTGTTTTGTTGTGGGTGTGTTTGCAGTGTTATGGCGGTACCTGCCACCGTCATCTACTTCACCTGCTACGACCAGCTGCGACACTTCCTGACGTACGGTCTGGGTTTTCAGGGCAGCCATGTTCCTCTCCTTGCTGGTGGTCTGGCCAGATGTAAGAGCATGAATCCATGGACAAACACAGACGGGGAAACTGTAATGTGTTCACAGTGTTCAGGCAGAATTCATTCAATTAAGATCTAAGACCTTTTGAATGCTGCGTAGAATTTAACCCTCCACCTTTTTCATGGTCAAAGCATGACGGTAAACTAACAATAATATGTTTTATTTATTCATGACACTGATTTCAATGCTTTTTAAGATTTTTGAAGGTGAATGCATGTACTCGACTTGCAACATGTTTGTTTGTGTGTGTCTCTGTCGTAGTGGGGGCTGTGACAGTCATCAGTCCTCTGGAGCTGATCAGGACTAAGATGCAGTCCCGTCGGCAGCCGTACAGCGAGCTGCGAGCGTGTATCCGCTCCGCTGTGGCCCAGGACGGCCTGCTGTCTCTGTGGAGGGGCTGGGCACCCACCATTCTCAGAGATGTCCCTTTCTCGGGTGAGAGCAGCACCACAATACAACACATTCCAATACACTGTAATAACCTGTCGGAGTCTTATCATGACACTGAGTTGAAATGCGACTGTAAAATCTCAGTCCTCTTATGAAACCACATTTAAATTCAGTAGCTCCAGGTTTGGATTTGCACCAAATTGCTCACAATAAACATGTCTGATTTTTTTCTTCAAGCTCTGTAAATTATTCTCTGTGAAAATGTCAACATTTCTCACAATTTTATTTTAAATGATATAACACATTTCTTGGTCGGACCCCTTGTCCAAATCCACGCCAATATTTGAAGGGTTCTTTCTCGTCCCATGTCCCACCCTACCCCCAAGTCCCTGTGAAAATCTGTCCTTTTTTTGCTGAAACCAACAAACACTTTAGGGCAAAAACAGTAATAATTAAAGATTTGGAATAAAATGTTGTCTTCTTCCAGATGTTTTATCCATTTTTCTTCTAAACTTGTAGGTTAGGAAAGATCTGTGACACTCTTTACACTGTCTGTACTGCCGTCCTGCATTCATCCATCCATCCTGTCATTATTCAGAAAACTCTCTTTGTTTAAGGAAAATTTCCACAAGAAAACCCCTTTAACAGGCTTTTGGAGAGCGCACACTGTTGATCAGCCACTTTATCATCATATTGCATATACATTTATTGAGATTAGATATGTGAACCAAGACTTTTTCAACCATCGTAATCTCAACTACACTTTGGTGGACGCTGCAGGCTCCTGCTCATACAGTAACTGAATAAAGATCACCCTCTGTCAATACTGTTTTTAATTCACAAAATTCAAATCAAAAGACAAACATCAATAAAAAACCAACTTGTGTTAAAAGTGTTAAAATGACTGTGATATAATTAGCAAACAAGCCCTGTGTGTTTTTGTGTCCTTGCAGGTGTGTATTGGTTTAACTATGAACTGGTGAAGGCCCAGTTATGTGAACAGTTTGGAAGGTCTCAGGCCAACTTCCCCATCAGCTTTACTGCAGGAGCTGTGTCTGGAGCTGTGAGTACATGAACACTCTGCTGCAGCACTTAACCCATACCAGTAGATACTGTTGACATCTTGATACAATAAAATGAAAACTGGTGGTAATCAAATGCATGAACTCAAAGCGAGAAAGAGTGAAGTAAAACGTAGCCTGATGTTCTCTCTGACCGGCTGACGACAGTCAACTGTATTCTTATAATCCACCGGTTGACTTTAGTTCAACAAATATCTGATAGCAGTCGGCAGCCAGTACCTTCACGGAGACGCTAAGAGAATCAGGCCAGTGTTAGGTTAGGTTTCTGTCATATTAGGTAGTTCTTCTTCTGTTTGCTGAAGTGCTCATGTCTCTTGGGAAGACGTTGAGATGCGTCATCCATCTTTAGTTACAGTGTATGATCTTTAATCACATTCTATGTCCTGGACTGTTTCTTTCATGGTGTTTAGATCGCTGGGATCCTCACTCTGCCTTTTGACGTGGTGAAGACTCGGAGACAGATCCAACTCGGAGAGATGGATACTCTAGGAGGTGTGTGTTCATGCACGGTGACGTCTGGTTTGAGATTCATCTAATTTATATGCAAAGTGGAGTTTTTTTAAACAGTATCTCAGTAACATTGCAGTAACAACAGTATTTCTTCTAGGTCCCTTGAAGAAAACATCATCCACATGGCACATGATGAAGAAAATATGGGTTGAGCTGGGCTACAGGGGGCTTTTTGCAGGTACACTGTCTTGTTATGTGAAGTAAAAACACAACGTCATGCTCTGCCCAGAAGTGAAAACATTTGAATTTTTCCCCAGGTTTCATGCCAAGGGTGATCAAAGTGGCCCCAGCCTGTGCGATCATGATAAGCACCTACGAGTTTGGAAAGACGTTCTTCCAGAAGATGAATCTTGATCAGGAGCGCCTGTCATCCTGAAGGTTGTTTGTGCAGCGCTGGGTGTTTCTCAGAGGCAGAAGCACACGCAGACTTTATCTTGAGGAAACGAAGGAAAAATCCTCTATAGATGAAGGGAGAAAAGGGTGGGTTTGGACTTCGGGGTGTCTCTACTTGCAAATCTGATATTCTCCAAGCCTGGACCAGGAGGGACACTCTGGGATCACAAACTTGACTTTATATGTGTGGACGAATTGAGTAAACCTCTTACAGGCATCTTTAAAAAGAGAATGTTCTTTTTCTGTGTTTGTGTGTGTGACCGAAATCAAATCTCAGTGTACATTTTCAAACAATGACAGAGAGGCTTAGTTAGCGAGCAGCGACGCGACTGTCGTACTCAATGAGTTGTATGAGGTTTTATGCTGCGTGGGAAAATCCAAACCCTCTTTAAGACTTCAACTGCATCAGCACTGTAGCATGAGTGCAAGGAAACTGTTCTCTTACCTGTATTCTGCATCTCCTGACAAACTGCATGATGTGTACATCTGCAATCAGTACAGAAGCTATATAATAAAATGTCCACCCACTCTCCTATCCTGCATCCGCTTCACTGCATTATCCTGCAATCCTGCTGCAGTGAAACCTGACATTTTTGACATTATTCTGAAGAGTAGCTGAGTGACAAATCTGATTTATGTGCTGAGTAAATGTAACCAATTACAGAACTTTACATTTGCAATGCAAGAGCTGTGAAAAGAATAACTGAGAACTGATTAATAACTACAGGTTGTTTTTTTAATTTCTGCTGAATGTGCCCCTCTTCTCTGTTCTCATAACTGGAGGAAAGCCATAAATTAAAGATGCACAAGGAGGACTGGTGGTGGTCAGGTCATTTGTTTTTAATTGGTGCATGGGCTATGTATGTTATACTATGAGATATATTACAACATATAATGACTCAACACACTTGTGAAAGGAACTGCAGTCACATACTTTTCTTTTCGGAAATGATCTTAAAAAAGAAATTCAAACGTGCTGATATCACATAAATGAATACCTGTCCACAAAATGAAATACTTCTCAAAAACTTGTTATAACACTGGACATAAAACATAAAACATAAAACAAAATATTGCTGCCTTAACCTAAAAGGTGTAATTGTTTTTCCTTTGTTTTTTTTATTGTCATGAATGAAATTGTAATAAATGTTGATACAGCTTGTTTATTTTCTCCTGTGTGATTTATTTTTAAGGGGCTTTATTATTAGTTTATGTTTAAGAGGATGTATTTAATAGGGGATATAAAAATACCTAACAACCAAGGAGATATATTTCTTTACGTGATTTCACTGGATGATAAAGTTGTATTCTAGTTTAAATGGAGTAAAACCGAAGAAAGGTTCATGTTTTTTTCACTTGTCAGAAATTAATACAAAACACATGCAGGAGTTTAATCTTTGTTTCATCTTTTTACTTTAGAAGATTTTAATTGTAATGTTTTATATTATAAAATCTACAGTCTGGACGTTTAAGCTAAAACTGCGGCATCTAGCGGCTGCTGAGAGTAATGCACCAGCAGGGTGAACTGTAGGGCGGGTCCTCTCTGAGGAAAGTCTCGCGATACTTGCAGGGCTATAAATACGTGAGCGGCCCGTAGTCTGGTCTCTTTGAATTCGGACTGGTGACAGGATGGTGAGTGAAGCTTCCTCTGTGCACGCACACAATCTGTGTGTTATCTGAACCATCCGCTGCTTTTAGTTCATCTCAGACACTGGGACAGTTTGTACATTCGCTCATTATCTTACTTTTCTGATTATTACTTTAATATCTTTAAATCTGAAGTGGAAGTTTGAAAGCAACGCCGGCCAAAATGGCTGCTGGAGATTTGCCTCTGCTAACACGTTTTTAACAGACTTGTTGAATCTCCTTTGCTTTTATTTAACTGTAAGTAAATGCTACGATCGAACATGCCATTGAATTGGTGATTAATATTGAGTTTAAATCTAACCGTGCTGATTTCAAGAAGCTAACCATGCTAACATCGTGGTAAATGCTAGGCCGTCAATAGCTGTAGTTTACACTGACACATTTAAGGTGGAAATAAAACGATCTCCCGCCTTCCACCATCATGGATTGACTGACCGTGTCTTTTCTCCACAGTCCCACCGTAAGTTTTCGGCTCCCCGCCACGGGTCTCTGGGCTTCCTGCCCCGCAAGAGGAGTCGCCGCCACCGCGGTAAGGCCAAGAGCTTCCCCAAGGATGACCCCAGCAAGCCCGTGCACCTGACCGCCTTCCTGGGCTACAAGGCCGGCATGACTCACATCGTCCGTGAGGTTGACAGACCTGGATCAAGTGAGTGGGGCTGCACTGAAAACAAACATTATACAAACCTGAGAGGAACCATGAACTGGGCCATCAGGGCCCAATTTGATATTAAAATGAAAACTCACTTAATGATTGATGTCATTAAGTATATGAAGTTAACTATTTAAAAGAGAATTTTATTTTGGAGGGTTGAGGATTTTTTTTCCACATTTTATTAACCAGTTAGTTATACCTCATGTCATGCACACGCAATGTACAGTGCATTTAACTTCTATGCAAACTTATTGATTAAATAATGTATCAAAATTGTGACTTTATTGCCCACCCCCGATCCATGATAATTTGTATAAATGAGGGTCTTGCATTTAGCAGCAGTTTTGGCTGATCATACTTTAGTGGGTCAGTTTCTGGTGGTTCTGCCTATGATTATACACTCGACGGGCGGACAGAATGGGTTCAAATCCCTTGCTGATATGTCGAGCACTGAGCAGAGTCAATACCATGAAGCCAGTGGGTGCAGATGATGAATGTTCAAAGATGCTGACATGCAAACTAAATGTGTATTTCATTGCAGAGGTGAACAAGAAGGAAGTGGTGGAGGCTGTGACCATTGTGGAGACTCCTCCCATGATGGTGGTTGGAGTTGTTGGATACGTCAACACTCCCCGTGGCCTGCGTTCCTTCAAGACCATCTTCGCCGAGCACGTCAGTGACGAGTGCAAGCGTCGCTTCTACAAGAACTGGTGAGCTTACATGTTGGTTTTTCTCAGTTTGAAGCAGATGTTAGTTGCCCAGTGGAAAATAAAAAGACCTGTTTTCACTGAGTGAGTCTAACATTACGGTGGCCCCTGTGGCAGCTCCGCTCAGGTGCCTCGGTCCCTGATGAGCTCCGGGCTCCTCTGGCCAGTGGAAAGTGCTTCTTAGAAACTGTGCCATGAGCCGAAACCTTAAAAGCTGATCTAGCCCACCCTCACTCACATGGGGACGGGGCAAGCAGCTATGGACAGTGTTCTTCCGCTGACCCTTTGGGGTTATGAGGGACCTGTGCCAACCCATGTGTCCTCTCTCCTGCCATGCTGTGATCTCGCAGGTACAAGTCTAAGAAGAAGGCTTTCACCAAGTACTGCAAGAAATGGCAGGATGATGAGGGAAAGAAGCAGCTGGAGAAGGACTTTGCCACCATGAAGAAGTACTGCCAGGTCATCCGCATCATTGCCCACACACAGGTCAGTTTGCATGCTTTCTGTATTGATGGCTGATTTAGATTGCTGCTTGTCAGTGATGAGACCACGGATCTTGCGTCAGGCATGGCGCCCGACACGTATGAGGATATCTTCCATGCTGCCTTCCTTCTGAGACCACACAGCTATCACACAGACTCGTTATGTTTTTGAAGTTGGCAATTTCAATGTTCTTACCTGTGTTTGTTTACTGTGCAGATGCGTCTGCTGCCCATCAGGCAGAAGAAGTCTCACCTCATGGAGGTGCAGCTGAACGGGGGCTCCATCTCTGATAAAGTGGACTGGGCCCGTGAGAAGCTGGAGCAGGCCGTGCCCATCACCAGCGTCTTCACCCAGGATGAGATGATTGATGTGATTGGTGTCACAAAGGGTCACGGATACAAGGGTAAAGAAAAGTTATTAGATTTCATAACCTTTTCACATTCATCTTTTTCTGACTCAGAACTTGTATTGAGTGTAACTTATGTGTCTTGTCTCTTAGGTGTCACCAGCCGTTGGCACACAAAGAAGCTTCCTCGTAAGACTCATCGTGGTCTGCGTAAGGTGGCCTGTATTGGTGCTTGGCATCCCGCCCGTGTGGCTTTCTCTGTGGCCCGTGCCGGTCAGAAGGGTTACTTCCACCGTACAGAGATCAACAAGAAGATCTACAAGATTGGCCAGGGCTACCACACCAAGGACGGAAAGCTGGTGAAGAACAACGCCTCCACAGAGTACGATCTGTCTAACAAGAGCATCAACCCCCTGGTAAGTGATGTTCCTGTATCAATGTGTAAATGGTTAACAAATCCTCCATTGACACAGATGTAGCTCACTAGTTGTCTTTCTTTTACAGGGTGGCTTTGTCCACTATGGAGATGTGACCAACGACTTTGTCATGGTGAAGGGCTGTGTTGTGGGGACCAAGAAGAGGGTGCTGACTCTGCGCAAGGTGAGGACTTCACAGCAGTTTGTAGTGGTTATGTCTTGTATTGTGAGCAAATTTTAGAAAATTTCCAAACGTTGTGTCCTTGTTTGCAGTCTCTGCTGGTGCAGACCAGCCGTCGTGCTTTGGAGAAGATTGACCTGAAGTTTATCGACACCACTTCCAAGTTTGGGCATGGTCGCTTCCAGACAGTGGAGGAGAAGAAGTTGTTCATGGTAAGAACCTTTTTTTTCTATTTTCAAATTCATCGTGTTCAATTGTCTGGGCTTCTGTAGCCCTGCACTGTTCGTAACCTGGTTCAGTCTTCAGTATGAACTCTGGTTCCATTCCAGTGCAAGATTGAGCTCCAGTGAGGCAGGGGAACAGTGCCTTTTTGTGCTCGTTCCCTGTTCACTCTCTGGAAACAGTTGCCGCTATGAGCCAGCTCTCAGGCTGCAGTAGCTGTTTATTGACCCACAGCTGATCATCTTTTGTATTTCTTTAACAGGGACCACTCAAGAAGGACCGCGTCACCAAGGAGGAGACGGCTTAAAGTCCCAATCAACGCACAATGTCGCTGCTGCTCTAACGACACCATCACTGTTCTGCAGCTATTTAATAAAAAAACAAACAAAATGTCTTGCGTATTCGTATTTTGTTAGGGAATTTACTAAATGCCAAAATGAAATGTAATCTACTCAGCTGTTTCACAGCAGCCTGACTTTTCATCAGGGTGAAAATGCAGATGCATAAACCTGGGGGCTGGCTTGTGACAAAACATGGGTGACGCAATACTGCCAGACCTGCAAAAACTACAGACATGAGTTTATAAATGTCTGTGTATATATTGTATCTTGTATATATGTAAATAAAAAGTTGTATAAGATGTATCTGTCAATTAAGTTATCATTTCACATCAATATTTGGTTGTCATGTTTGCAATGTGGCTGCATGGTTTACAAATAGCTGAAGGGTTATCTGACCTTTAAGTCTTAAGTTTACTAAGACTGCAGTTAAAGATGCTGATCTTTTGCAGTAGAAACATTTGATCATTTTTGAAACAAACTACCAAAACATATTCATCAATGGGTGGCATACATATCACCAATTAATAAATGGTGACAACTAGCACATGTGTTGATATCCAACAGAGATGTGATCAGAGTAGAGAATAAGTCCAGTGATGTCTTCTATAAACAGCTTCATGCAACAGATTGTATTAGGGAAAATTCCACATCCATAAAAAGATGTGAACAAACATCAAAAACTAATCCTGTTAAATATTCTTGTGATATGTTCAATAGATTTCATTGTATTTCTTTTTTAGCTGTCATATCCAAAAACAGTATAGGTGTATGTTCATGTGTATAAATTTGAGTTATCTGATTTAAAAGAGAATTATAATCATAATGACCAAAGACAGTTGATCTTTAGTTAAACATTCTTTTTGTTTCCAAAATAGTTTTAATGTTTCATGCATCTGATCATTGTAGCTTCTGTAGAGTATTTAAATCCCTTAAATTACATTTAATACAGTGGAACCTATAAGGACTTTTTAAATGTGTTAAAAGTCTTTAGTTACAAAGCCCAGTCCTCCGTGCTCAGGCTGAAAAGGTCAGCGTCAGCTGTGGCGAGAGCAGCCACCTATGCAGAACTGATGGACGGATGCTCAGTTGAGCTAACGCTGCATGTTTTAACAAGGCTATATGTGTCCTTGAGCTGTGGAGCCTGTATTCGGCTGACATCAGAAGTGCAGCAGTCACCGAGCGGTAATTAAGGCCCGACATCATCCATTCTGACTCATCACTGCCACAACTAAAGGCTGCACTTCAGCAGGTAATGAGGGAGACCCTGAGAGAGATCTGCAGGCCATTTAGACTTCCTGCTGAAAACTCCTCGGTGAGACGTCTCTGCTTAATATTCAGCGCTCTTAGCAGAAATGTGGATTTCCTGTTCAGCTTTTCAAGGTCCCACCTGCCTCCCATTAACCTGCATTGCAGCGGGTTGAAGGACGGCAGCGTTTCAACAATTTGACATTTTCTCCACCAAAGCAGTTCTACAGTGAAAAGAAAACACCCTCTGAAGGACACTGATGGGGAACTGAGCCCTAAAAAGACCAAAAAACTGTCCTGTGCATCAGTTTGTTGCCATTTTTCGTTGGTTTGTGTCTTTGTGGTAATTCTCTGGTCATTTTACATCATGTTTTATATCAGTTTATGGTGGTTTTGTGTCTCTGGTTATTGCATGGTCATTTTTAATCCGTTTTTTAAAATTTTGTGTCAGTTTCCTGTGGTTTTGTATCTTTCTGTGGTCATTTCACGTGACTTTGTGGCAATTTTCTCTGTGTGGTAGTTTTAATGACTGTGTTCATTTTGTGTCCCTTTATGGTGGCTTTGTGTCTCCCTGGTTGTATCTCGGTGTGTAGAAGCAGGAGGAGGAGGAGGGTGCGGGGTGACGCCCTGTGTCACTGTGTCCAGGGGACAATCACGGAGATGGGCCTGCTGTTATGTAACAACCTCCAGAGGCTGTGACCCCTGCCCTGCTGCTGCACAGACGGAGACCCCCCCCCCGCTACATGTTACCGTTAACGGTCCAGAAATCTGCCATTAATTGCTCCCTCTGTCCGTCAGGTGAGGTCTGGTCTCCCGGTAGGCGTCGTCTTCATGACCCCGTGCATCTGCTCAAACAGCTTCCCTGCACTTTTTGTCCGAGTCATTACGCACCATTAGTTCACTCCTCCATCATTTCAACGAGGTCAGGACAGGATGGAGCAGCAGGAGGGGAAGAATGTGAAGCAACAATGAGTCAAGACTCAATTATAAAGCTTTAATTCTTGAAAATGATAAACTGTAAACATGAGTTAGTCACTGTAATAAATCAACTTAATTAAATATTGTAATATTGTATCATATCAATAAATGCTAATATAAATATGTTTTGCCCAAATCTGCTGCTGAGGTGGACAGATGAGACAATGTTCTGTGGGACAGAGACAAGTTTTCAAATCTCCACCTTTCAGTAGGAGAGCACGACAACCAGAGAGATGCAAAATAATGTAGCATTACTGTGATGATTTCACTTTACATGGTCGCTTTGCTTGTCCTTGTACTTATTGTGAATTTCTTTGTGATTTGTTTTTCTCTTTTTGTGCCTTTTCTGCATCATATTGCTGTCCTGCCGTACCTGCAGCTGTGACTTTCATTCTTTTGCATGTTTGTGGCTCGTTTGTTTGCCTTTGTTGCATCACTTTGTGGTCTTTTTCCATGTTTCCATGTGGTCATTGGCCCTAGTTTGTGTCTTTGTGCATGTTTGCTTGACCAACTAGAATAGATGTCACTTCATACAGAGGTTCAGGGGAGGGTCTCTGAACCTGCACCCAGTAGACCTGTTCAGTATTTCATCCGTGATATGAACAAGACGAAGACCTCTGATCTGAGTAGTTCAGCCCTTCATCATTTAAAATGAGTTCTCCTCAGAGATATGAGTGATGAAGCCAGTAGTGTGTCTGCCACTACTTAATAACTGCTTTTGTGTGTGTGTGTGTGTGTGTGTGTGTGTGTGTGTGTGTGTGTGTGTGTGTGTGTGTGCACGCGCAATCATGCAGTGGAACCTCCAGTCCTGAGTATAGCAGCTGCTGCTGGTGGGACAGCAGCCAGGTAACCGGGGTGCATGCTGGGATGACAGAGAGTAGAGCCAAGCGTTTGATTTATGTGAGAGTGTGAGAGTGTGTGCTGTTGCTTGCACATGTACGTAGGTGTGTGTGCATCTGTGCGTTGGTGCGTGTTCTGGCACCGAGTCAGTGGCAGGCCGTCCTGCAGAGCGAGGGAAGTGGCTGGGCCGTGCTGCTGCTGCGTCGAGGTGTCCGACAGGAGGGCGGCCTGTCGAAAGAGACGACCACACATGTAGGACCATTATTACACAGGACGGAGGCCACAGGCTGCTGCTGCTCCTGCAGTGACTATCTGACGGCCTGACCGCGGTCAGGACTCGTTATTCTGTGAGGAATTTGAATCTGAAATGATTATGTTCTGTTAATCAATCAATTATCAAAATTATCTCAATCATCTTCTTAGTCTGAGCAAAGGACCCCCACAGGAGCACAATGTTTCAGATATATCTTCTGAGAATAATGGATTTGTGTGGTTGTCTGCTGACATTAACAGGCCACTGTCCATCAAATCAGATTCATATTAGATCATCTGTGATATGGAGATGTTATTGGCCAAATGCTAGTTTAGATTTTTCCAATTTAAATCCTTCATGTTCACGGCTCAAGAGAGATGGATGAAGATTCAAGGAAAAAACAAAGTGGATGCGCTGCTCCTCTCTGCTTTAGAACATCTTTGTTTTTTAACTGTTAGTAAGATAAAATAAGCATTTTGCAGATTTGAAGATTCGGCTTCGGGAAGCTCTGATGATTAATTGATCAATCAATAATACAATGTTCAGATTCAGTGATGCCATGAACATAATGAGCACTCGGAGCCCTGGTGGAAGGCTTTTGTTTTTACAGGGTGACATTAAATGCACCACAGGTTGCTGCAGGGTGGAGGAGCAGTGGAAGATGTTTGATTTATATGTTTTTTGTGTTGCACCAATGAACGGCCTCCACATCAGGACTTTGTGTTTTTGATCCTTGCTCTTTTTGCCAGATTCTCAACAAGAGGGTTTGAAAATCAATTGAGAGTTCACACTTAAAAAATATAAACAGGTGGAAATGACCAAGGAGACACGTCTTTAATTCCTTCTGATGTGGACAAATTTTTTTTGGTATTTTTATGAATGTCCATCTGTACAACACACACTGCTGACTGAAGCTCCATGGTCCCACAGAGAACCTGTCTCCTCCTCAGCGCGTGGAGGACTGTGAATCTGAGCGTTTGTCTCGGGCCTGCCAGACTGCAGCTCCTGCACCCCTGCACTGTGGCATCAGTATTCAGGGCCCGTTTACAGACACAGCGTTCCCTGAGCTGAAAGAGGCACTGCGCCCTCGTCTCCCTTCACACCACCAGAGGGCATAGCATGGTGTTCCATTCAGCTTCATGCATCCTAGAGCACTTTGTGAGCTCTAGCCTACTTCTGTTTCTCCTCTTCATCTCTTCTTTAAAATGCCCTCTATTCAGAGCCGGATATAAAAGCTGCAGATGATTTGTCAAACAGCAGCGACTCATTTATTCTTATTCCACGCAGGAAAGGATGAAGGTTCGAGCTGCTTGTATCAGCAGTGCGGGTGATGTGAATGTGTCATTTCAGACTATGTTTGTGACAATGAATTTATTTTTATTTTTCAGTTGGGTGAACATGCTTAAAGCTTTCTGTTGTCACTCAACTCTGCATGACCCAAAAATAACCTGGGGTGAGCGCAGTCAGCAACTGTTCTCTGGTCAGCACAAACAACAGGCCTCACACACACACACACACACACACACACATAGACAGACATGCACATTCAGTGTTTGCACGCACAGGAGAAAGATAAACATTCCTGTGCAGAGAAATCCACACACACATTTCAGGTTGCATTTAGTTTCCGGAGCAGTGATCCTCATGAGTCGGACGTCAAACGCTGCAGCTTCTGCACAAGCCACTTAAGGTTTTGTTCCAGAGGCTTCAGGTGACACCCCATCCCCTCGCTCGCACAGCTCCCATGGGCGCTGGCTTCTCCATCTCAGAAAGTCGTCCAGTAAAGTCAGAGAAAGGTCATTGGTCAGTTTGATGCAAGGTTATGTAACCTCACAGGCCACCAGAGACCCAGAGCCAGAAAGAGAGAGAGAGAGAGAGAGTCAGTGTGTTTTCTCTTAATATCGCAGCCAGGAGGGGACAGTGTGTTCCTCAGGCCTCATCTCCTCACCCCTCACCTCACCCCAACAACTACCAGGCTCCCCCCCTGCATTCTCCCACAGAGCTTCCTCTCTGTCACACAGCACTGCAGAGACACTTTGATCACCACAGCAGGAACGAGAGAGGGAGTCAAGGGGAAGAGAACAGTGTGTGTGTGTGTGTGTGTGTGTGTGTGTTTTCCTACACAAAACAAGAAGATGTCACAGCTTCGGACTAACTTGTCAATAACTTTCAGTTTCCTTTTTGATGAGACTTACAATGTGCATGTTTGGTTTAATGTCAAGAGTCAGGTAAGAGTTAGAGGCCTGGATTTGTGTTTACTTATTATTATTATTATTATCATTATTTGGTGTGGGGGAGGAGACAAATAAATAGAAGAAAATATACACAAGTAAAAGTACCCCACTAACTACATTTGAGAAAAAATCAGTACTCTCTTTGAATCAAGGGTTGTTGGGTCTGGCCTATTCCCCACCAGTGATGCTGCTGCTGCATGAGGGGGAGGGTCCAATGTTACCTGCCAGCTCTGATTGGATCAATAGAGGAGCTTCAATTTTGTTAATGATCACCTTTAGAAAAATAAAAAACCATGTGAACATGTATTATGGTTTGTAAACAAATGTACTGATACATATATTTGCAGCTCTATGTACTGGAGTAAACGTGAAAAGTATCCTAAAGTAAATCTAATTAAGGAAAGAACAGATACATGAAAGATTTACTTCAGTACATTAATAGAGTAAATGTACTTCATTACATCCCACCACTATGGTGGCTGAGAGAGCTCAATGCACTGCAAATTCAGAAAACATGCAAATAGAAAAAAATTGCAAATTAGGAAAACAACTTCACTTGGTGACGCAATGAATTTTTCTCTTTGCAGTGCTTTGAGCTCTCTCAGTCACTGCACACGACTGATTATTATTATTATTATTATTATGAGTTCATTTATCTTGTTGGTAATCTTTCAAAGGCAAGAGAATAACATCAATTTTCAAACTCCCACCTTCTTAAACTCTAATCCTCCTCTGTCTCCGTGTGTAAAGCTTTGACTGTTGGATGGACTGATGGACCAGAGAGCTGAGAGAGCTAGTGTGTGGGTACATTTTGAAGATATTTTAATCCATCCATCCATCCATTCACAGCTACAGACGGTTTACAATCTCCACTCAACCTTTTGTGGAGCAATATCACAATTAAAACAAATTTAAATAAAGGTGATATCCAGTTTATTGTTACTTAAATCCAAATGGTGCAAGAAACAAGAGCAGTCAGACAATCAGGCAGTTGGTAAACAAGCCAACTATTGACGTCCATGTGGAAGAAAAGGTAACAGGAAGTCCAGCACTGGCAGTCAGATGAAGGGGCGGAGTCTACAAAAGGGGGTGGGACGTTCACTTGAGCCCTTCTTCCTGCATTGAGGCCCACCTGAGAGAGAGAGAGCATGAGGCCAGCTTTTGTTTGGTTTTTTTTCCAAAGTAAATATGTTTAGAAGTACGAATTAATTTTAGCTCCTTGTGCCAAACTAAAGATTTGTTAACTGAGTATTAAAATCTGTTTTGTCAGGTTTGTTCCTGTTTGACTTGGAGTGACTTCTGAGGCTGATCCGTCAAGTAACAAGGTATGCTCAATCAAATTTATATCTTTAGTCCTTTAAATGCAATATTAACATGGCATCGATGAATGTAGATTCCAGTCACCTGCGTGTCTCCAACTGGGTAGAAGGACGGTGTTCAAGTTTAGCATTTTTTTGGTAAACTGTTTATAATGTTTTCTTTTCTATAATAATTTGCTACTGACACCAATATAGGAGGCAACCACTGTTTATCCCCATAACATTAGATCATAGTGACTAATCTGTGGAAATGTTTTCTTGTGGGTTGTTTTCTAAAGGGGGCTGAGTGGTGGAGGAGCCATCTTGCATGTTCTAGTGTGTTAAGGTTTAAGTCTCATTAGCTTGTTGTGAATAAGCACAACACTGTGTAGCAGAAATGAGTTGGTTTATTTATAACTGTGACCATTGTGACACTGTATATTTGTTCATCTAATAGAATTAGATTTGTGTTAGTTGTGCACTTTGCCCCATCCCTCCTTTATTGTGGCCTACCTTCACCTCTACTATTACTGCATTTTAATTGAACAGTTTTTTAAATTTCATGTATTGTAAATAAAATCTGTATATTTTGGTACAACGGTCTCTGGTTGCTTGTTTATTCTGGGTCATATGCATTGAGTATCAATGAGGTGCACACATATGATTGAGTTTGATAATACTTGGGCTGTTTAAAGCTGCTATTGTCAATATTCTAATCATAATAATTCAAAGGACTGTGTATAACGTGAAAGGGAACTGTGGTGATGAAATTGTTTTGGTTTTCAAGCCAAAAATGTTACTTTATGTTCACACTCACCTTTTTTAGAGATGAAACTCTTAAAACTGATCGAACAACAAACATCCTACAGACACAGTTGGACATCAGGTGTTGAACATTTATCAGCTGAAGGACATGGTAGAGAACAACAGAGCTAAAAGAGCGTGAAATTGGAATATTTATCAGCATGGTTGCAAATAAATGCTAATTTTGCTTTGTCACTTGTTGGTCTTAATATGCATGTTTCCTAACTACATAAACTGAAAGTGATAAGTCAATATTGTGCTTAAAATTTCATTCTGCTGCCTCCAAATGGCCAAAAAAAGTTGAAAAAGAATTGATGTTCACACAAATTTTAAAATCTCCTCTTTTTGCACTTCCTCTAGCAACACCTCTGCCTCCCCAGATCCTAGCGGCGACTGAGTAAAAGTTGGTAAGTACAAACTCTTTATACTAAAAAGCAAAACACATCAACATAAGATCCAAAGTGGAAGAATTACAATTGGGTGTAGAGAGGGACACATGCACGTTCTCTCTCCATGCCCTACTTCCAGTAAATGACACTTCGTGCCCTCCAGCAAACAGAGCATGGAAATCTGGCCTCTGAGTGTTATGGGGCCCCACTCCGGCTGCATGGGGCTGCAGCTGTGGGTGGAACTATCATTAGCATTAGCTCTGGAGCTCCTGCCCTGACCCTCCCTGACATCTCTGTGCACTGTCCAACTCTGTAATCCTGCCAAAATAAAGAAAAACCTTGCGGTGACTCTTCAAGGGCATGCCTCGCTTTCTCTGGGTTCCAGTGCACCTCTGTGAGGAGCCAGAGGAAGACGAGGAGGAGGGCACAGTCAATGAAAGTGTTGGGGGCTGGGTACATCAGAACAGAGATTGGTCACAAGAAACTCCTTTTAGTCAGATATTTTGACATGCATATCATGTGACAACATAAACAATGGTGTTGTTCATTTCAAGTGTCCCAGTGAAGACATGATCGTGTGCCTGTGAGTTGCCACACACAACACAAGAATTTAGCACCCATTCACTTTATCATTTACACCTGTGCTTGTCACATGTGAAAATATCTGCTCTGAAAAAATCCTTGTATCCCCAAGCCTTCGAAGGCCGACCACGTCCCCAATGCAGGCCACTCACTCTTTGGATTAACATAGCTGCTTTGTCCACTGCGTGATGAGAGCAATCCCAGGAGGCATACAAATGCGGGCCACTTCAGACAATGATGCTTTCTTTCGCAACACCTTAAGTTGACATGCGGAACTAAAACACTGGTGTATTAGCTCAGAGCAACGTCAGCAGCACTGTCTTATTTTTTAGGGACAAGTGATTGCTATGATTGCTATTTCAGAAGTCTGTTAAGTAACCAACATAATCTTCAGACCTAAGATCACAAACTTTCAAAACAGGAGCTCTATTCCACTCAGTATTAATGACGCTACAACGAAAGGAACGTTGTTCTTAATAAATTGCCATCAAAATGATCTGGAGGCAAATATTATGTTCCCAACTACCTGCAATGTGAAAACAATAACACATTATATCAGGCCATTTAGCTTTAGCCTTAATCTTCAAGCAATAACTTGTGTAGAAGTGATCATACTTTCTTTTACAGACATTGTGTTAAAATGAATGAGCTTAAAACATTGAGAGATAACAATGGCTATATTAGCTAATGTTACCAAACAGCCATCATTACCACTATTAGGCATATATGACATAAATATTTTAAAATCAGTTGTAACACATATTGTATATTATTACAACCGTTTTAGTGTATTATCATAATCACATAGTGTGTTTCAATTTCTATCATGTTAACATACTGAGTAATATACACTGCTCAACAAAATGGAACACTTAAGGGAACACAGTATGACAGCATGGCAGTTGACTTTCAGGGATATCAAGCTGTCCATTTAGGAAGCACAATTGGTGGTGAATTAATTTCCTGCAAATTAAAGTAGCAGGTGGAATGGAGAAACAAAATCGTGCGATCTGGTATCTGAACAGGAAACCCACTGCCAGAGTCCTTCAAAATGACCTCCAGCAGATAAGGGCCAGACAACCTCTAGTGGGGCCTGAGCTCACAGCCCAGCACCATGCAGCTTGATTGGCATTTGTCAGAGAACACCAGAATTGGCAGGTCCGCCACTGGCACCCCATTCTCTTCACAGATGAGAGTCAGTTCACATTGAGCACATGTGACAAGCATGAGTCTGGTGCATCGTGGTAAACATTATGCTGCCTGTCACATCATCCAGTATGACCGGTTTGGCGGTGGGTCAGTGATGGTCTGGGGAGGAATATCCTTGGAGGGTCGCACAGACCTCCATGTCATAGCCAACAGTACCTTGACTGCTGTTAGGTACCGGGAAGAAATCCTAAGAGATTGCCAGACCTTGTGCTGGTGCGGTGGGCCCCACGTTCCTCCTGGTGCAGGACAATGCCCAGCCTCATGTGGTCAGAGTGTGTAAGCAGTTGAGGATGAAGGTATTGATGCCATTGACTGGCCCTCATGTTACCCCGGGCCAAAATCCAATTGAGCACCTATGAAACATAATGTTTTGGTGTATCTAACGACATCAAGTACCGCCCTAGACTGTGCAGGAGCTCACTTATGCCCTGATCCAGGTCTGGGAGCTGATCCACCAGGACACCATCTGCTAACTCGTCAGGAATATGCCCAGATGTTGTCTGGTGTGCATACAGGCATGTGGGGGCCATACACAGGGCCGAGTAACATTATGAGTTGCTGTGATAAAAGTCACGCAAGTTGAATCAGCTTGTGATTTATTTTTCTTTTTTTGGGGGGATTTTAAATCCAGCCCTCAGTGGATTAATGATTTTGGTTTCCATTGACCATTGTACATCATTTTGTTCTCAACAAATTATAGAATCTACATCAGTAAAGATTTTCAACTTATACTAACTAATAATTTGTTCATCAAGATCTAATTTGTGATTTAAGTGTTCCTTTCATTTATTTGAGTGGTGTATAAAAATAATAGGCTGTAATTCAAACTTCATTATGTGCTTTGTGAGTATGGAAAACTCGATAACCCTCAGCTAGTTAGAATAATTTCTGAATAGTTCTTCAAGAATAATTTGAAATCAAATTTAATCACATACATTTTTGTCAATTGGACAATATTTCATATCAAAAAAAGAAATCAATCCAAACTCTGACATGAGTGTATGCAGAGGCCTGGGAGTGCCCAATCTTAAATATTAGTTTGATTTAAACATTTGACAACTTGGCTTCTCCTCCAAATTAGAAATGGGGTCTGAATTTGTCCTCAGCATCACAATGGCACTGTTGATGTATTGTTTCACAGACGTTTATGGCCCTCAGTCCATCCTCTGCCAGGCACAACCAACTCACCGCAAAATACGTGACAAGACAGTGCATTGAAAAAGTAATGAGAGAAGACGGAGTATGCTGAGGATGTGCCAAAGAGGAGACGAGGAGAGACAGATAGGAAAAAAGACTGACTTATTAATTCCTAAAACATATTAAAAATATGACATTCAGACGGCTGTACCAGGGCCAGGTGCTGCTGTATGAGAACACCTCCTCTACGCACACTCATACATTTTTACTTTGATATAATTCAGGCTTGTGAAATGACTGCTGCTCATGAATTCGGAGCCCTGTTCATTTAGATGACTATATGGACATATTTTTCCTTCAAATTCAATGCGAGCAGTTCAGTGAACTGAGGTAATGGCAAGCCAGGTTCTGAGCACTTTTTTTTAATATAACACTTTCTTTTTTTTCCCCTCCCCAAATGATTAATTTCTATATACAACCCCCAAACAATGGTACCATACACACTTACGCCACTGTCTTATTTCCAACCTGAACACTTTCACACATAACACTTAACACTTTAACACACGTTTCTTTTGGCACCATTGACTGGAAGTAAACATGGACCACCTGTTTCGACTTCCTGTTGTACAAGAATGTAGCTAAATGAAGCTAAAATATCTTGGATACAGGTGCTGCTATCTTGCGCTGTTTTCATTCGGAGCCAGTCTTTGCAATCGCCATAAGAGGAAGTAGATTCGGTTTTGAGGACCTGCCTATACACATGCTCGGAAGTCAATCATGACATTTGACCATGTTTTTATATCATCAAATGACCAATAAGAAACAAACTCGTGATTAGAACTACCTAAAATGACAAAATATGTCTTAGATGTATACTTTGTCTGTAATTTGGTCCATGTCCCATACATGAAGATGGAGGAGGCAACGTTTATGACCTATACGATATAGAGCCACCAGGGGTGATCAAGATACTTTGGCCCCTGACTTTTGGGGAGATGTCTTGTTGTCCCCTCTGAGCACACATACATAAAACATTTGTCTCACAAATCGACTCGCTTTGTTTATCAGCTTCAGCAGCCAATATGAGCACACACACTTTTACACACACAGAGTCACAGAGTAGCAGGAGGATGTTGGACCCCAGAATCAATGCTTTTAGCGCCGCGGTGTAGAAAGGTGTTGGGTGTTCAAAACATGGCTGTGCTATTGCAAACCTGTGTTTCCCTCTCAGGAGTACTTTGACTATACTATGACCTAGAAAGATGCTGCGACTCTCAGTATTTTACCTGCTGTCTTCACACAGAGAGAGGAAATTTGAACTTTAACTACAACGTTTTATAAATTGTTGTTTTGAGCTAAAAGCAGACAGATTTTCTCATTGTGTTCATGCTCTAACGTGGCCTCATATCTGTATATTCTGTAAGAGTGAAATGTGTGTTTCTGGCTTCATTATTCCACTTACAGACACACACTCATGTAGATATTGCAGTTCTAACAGGCCTTAAGGATATTTTTGGATTGCGGCTCCCAGTGGTTGATTACAATGTGTTATCACCATTTCACAACAGCAAACAAAGGCCGTGGTTTTAGCAGAGCACACAGGGTGTCATGTTTGACAACTCTGCTTTTATTTTTATTTTATTCAGTACTGGCAATTTTTGACTTTTTTACACTAGCACACATTTTTTTGTAATGATCTATTACTGTGTTTTGGCTTAACTGCTCAACACTTGTTTTGCCAATCGTGAGTCAGTTTCAGCCGCCAATTACTGTATGTTTCACCTTGGTTTTAATGGCATCAAATAACTAATCAAAACCAAACTTATGAGAGACATGAGCACTTGAACAAAAATCAATGTGATAAGAACTACCTAAAATGACAGAAATCATGTTTGAAAAATATTTATTAAATCTCTACTTTTTAGTTTGGTCCATGTCCCATCCACTAATTGGGAGGAAGTGGGATTTAAAATCTAAGCTGCAGCCATCCACCAGGTGGCGTTCAAGACACTTTGGCTTCACTTTCCGGGAGCTGTCATGTCTTCCATCTTCATATACAGTCTATGATGTCAACCCTCAACCCACCGTGTCCAGTGCCATCTTGCTTTTTTGAAACCAGAAGTAACCATATATGGAAATGGGCAAGGGGGGCTGGCTCAGTGCTTGAGGACACTAGAGGGCCCACCTACGGCTACCTGCACCCATTGGTCAGTTCTAGCTGCTTATTATTCAGTGCATTATCATCTGACTGTATATGGAGCCATAATTAACAAAATGAACATCATGCTGTACTGAAGAAATCTTGAAACTAGAGATTGAGAGCATAAAATCTTTACAAATGTTTACTGAGGTTATACATCAAGTGAGAGGGAGTCATTTTGTCAGACTTCTGCAGAAACTGACTTCTTTTAATACCAGTGGAGTCGCCCTCTGCTGGTCATTTGAGAGAATACACATTTAAGGCACTTCCGTATTGGCTTCACTTTCCAAACCAAGCATCAATTTTTTCACACAGTCTATGACTATAACTGACAAATAAAAACAATGTTCAAGGATTAAATGTGTGTTAGAGACACGCAGTGAAACATGGTGATTTGTTCCCCCTAGGGTTCGTATTTTATTCATCAGGACTTGATGCATCCAAGTATAGGATCATTCGGTTTTGGCACCTTTAAAGATTTCATTTTCAAATTGAACAACACATTAAAAATCAAAAAGAAACAAATAAATGACTAAGGCTGTGTGAGTTTTAAAAATAAAATACATACATACATATATTTATATATTTATAAAGAAATCAACCAAACCATTTAAAAAAGCAGTTTTTGTCAGAGTAGATTGTTTGGTTTGTCTCACAAGAGCAATAAGATAAAATGAACTAAATAAATAAAAAATAAAACAAGAAAAATACACATGAAAACATTAATACTTAAAACTTTAGCGTTTTTGCTTTTTTCCCCTTATAATTATTAACCTTTAAAACTTAAGTTTCTCAAGAGCAGATTTGCTGTAATTTTATAGCATGCATTTAATTTCTGAACTTGTGAGTCACTTCGCTTTTCTTGTACTATTTCATATTTAACTTGTTTTTATTTTTGTTTGACGTCCTCTTCTTTTCCTTCCCCTCTGCTCCTTCCTTTTTATTCTGCTGAAGTCGTATTTGGAGTCTTTGCTTTGTGAACTTTAACCCCTTTTGTTGTTGGCTCTTTCTGTTAAGGGGTTCAATACTCCCATTACGACCCCTCTGAAAAAGAAAGCGAACAGGGACTGAGAAAAAGACGAGAAGGTTCTGTTAAAAGAAAAGATATTATTCTACCATTCACTGTCTGCGTCTGCCTCTGGTGGCATCAGTCGCTGTGTACTGCTGCTACCAAAAGGCCCTTCGCTGGTTTTCAACCTTCAAATGAACAGATACTAAAAGAGTCTTTTCTCGTGTTATCAACAGCACTTGGTTTAGTTATAACTTTTTTTTTTTCCTTTTTTGCTTCGGTAAAGTCTGTAACTCTTGATTAATAACATAATAATTTATTTATAAAAAGTAATACATATATATATATATAGTACCTTTGTTAGAGATTGCAGATTGGGCTAATTCGTACTGAATCCCAAACTGTAACAATTCACAGTTTTAATGCAAAAAATGAACAAATGAGTTAATAAACAAAAGAGGTGGTGGGCTGGCTTAGGGGGAGCTTGACCTGTTGCTCCAAACAAACTGTGGAGCAAAACTGCCAAACCAAAGGGCAATGAAATCATGAAATCATCTCTTTATCTCATAAAAGCCCCCTCCCCTCGCTCGCTTTCAGTGCCCCAAACCTCATGAACGCACCCTGCGCAGAAAAATTACATAACTCGCTCTCTCGGTACGAACCTGACCCACACTCACGCTTCTGCCATTCAACCCAGGAACTCAGCAGACCTGTTGAAACTCTCAACAATGCTAATGGAAAAGTCATGCACCTGAACAAAAAGAACAAATGTCTATAAACATGGAAATCCGTCTTCTCCAGGGGCGTACTGCACCCACAGGGGTTCCCGTGTCTCCTGGTCTCCGCTCTCTGCCGGGCCGGCCTGGCCTGGCCTGTGTCGACTTACTCATACCGGCGTGGTGCGGCGGTTCGCTGTGTTGGTGTGGCTCGAGTCTTTCAGGTCCTTCTGGATGCAGTTGTGGACCTGCAGGAAGTTGTGGTCCCTCTCAGAGTTGTAGGTAGCGGTGGGCGTGCCAGAGGACTTGAGAGTGTCCCGGGGCAGCGTGTACATGGAGATCTCCGTGGATGGCAGCGCGCTAAAGCCCTTGAGACCCACAGGCGAGTTGTCGCGGGAGTGTGATGGGTCTGTGGAGCGGGAGGAGGAGCGCGAGCGACGTCTGTAGCGGTAGCGATAGCTGGGGATCCGCGTTATGGCTGAGCCTTGGAGGTAGTCGGCTGCGCGCGCCCCTATTCGGAGCTGTCGATGGCGGTCGATGAACATGTGCACGGCCAAGACGCCAACCATCTCAGCCATGATGAAGGAGAGGGCACCGAAGTAGAAGGACCAGCCGTAAGAATAGCTGTTCTTCTTCGAGTCACTTTTTGAAGGGTCCCCCGAGTTGGCTGATATGTACACGATGATCCCGATGATGTTGCTCAGACCTAAAAGGATCGGGGATGCAGCAAAGAGAAACAAAACATGTTGGTATATGATTCATTTAATGTGCAGCATCATACCACATATGTTTAGCATGCTGAGTCACTTGAACTAATCACGTCCACGCTGAACTGACTGACTCCTCATTTTGCCCTTTCAGTGAGAAACAGGCTCTCGACGCAGATTATATAGGACAGAGAATAAAATAATCCACTTTGGGGCTTTGTTCTGTGTTAGAGTCCATCATTTATCCACATTTACAGAAAGTACTTTCACTCGTTAGTTTAGTCACAGACAGAGAAATAGATGACATGATAAATCCACAAAGATGGATCGCAGGGAAACGGTGTCAGAGAAATTGTATTTTTAGAGATAGATCCCAGTGGGTGAATTTCAGCCCAGCAACAGGACGGAGAGAAAAGAAAGGAGTGACTTTTCAGCTGCAGCACAACACAAGTTAATGGGCTGGTGGTACAATGTCAATTTATAAAAGCACTGAAGTATGTCAACTAATTGAAGGAGTAGTTTTGGAAGCAAAGAAGGAAAATGCAATGACATTTGCAGCAGCTTTGGCTGAGATATATGTCATATCTGTTTGTGTATGTCTATTATTTAACGGGAAGCCATTAGAGTGGAAGTTAACAATCTACTTACCATCAGTAATGTCAAACTATTGTTTTCAATGAAAAATCCACCATAAACCACTTAAATTCTTTAAAAAATAACAAATGCGTGAAATTCACTAATCTCATCATTTTCTATCGGGTGATAACGTCAAGATTCTGCCTCTGTTATTTATTTCTGAGACTCTGATGAATGAACTATAATCTTCTTGTGTTTGGTCTTTGGTTTTGAATATTTTTATTTTTTCAGGTGTGCCCTTTAATTTCCTTATTCCCTGTTTTATATTGAAACTCTTTCCTTGTGTGTTCATCTCTCTTACTTCCTGTCTTTGTCTAATTTTCCCACTGTGATTTCACACTGTGATTGTCTGCACATGTCCTAATGTGTCACATCTGAATTCAGGCGTGCGTGCGGTTTCAGTTTGTGTTCCCTGGGTTCTAGTTAGTTTTCTTTTGCTTCCTGTAGTTTTTTTAATTTGAAATTTGAGTTTGCTTTTTAACTTTAATGTGTACATGGCACACATACATTGCCATTTGATCCATCTATGGTCATAACACAAAACTTGTCAGTTAAGTGTAGTTTTTACAATGTATTTAAAAATAAATTACAGCGACAAACACTGGATTTTGCACAAAATAAATATTGGGGCATGAAAGAAAATTGTTAACCCATTTGTCCAATTTCCTTAGTTTCATTATCACTTACTTTCTTGTATTCTTTTTTTATTTTACAATTTCAAAGACAAACATTAAAAAAATTAACCAATGTTAATGTTTTTCTTTTATTTAGGAAAAGGAGCATTGTTTCATGTCAAACTGCCAAGTTAGGTAACAGAGTAGCAACAGGATAAAACAGGATAAATATAATTTCTTTTAAGCTGTTAACTGATAACTGCTTTTAAAGTGTTTAAATACTGACGATGTTAAATGATATTTTGGGCTTATTGGATTTATCTTGTTTTAGTCTATTAAAAAATGGAATACCCGTGACTTGAATGTAATAAATTAGAGGCACAAAATATATCAATAGTGCGTATGAAAGAAATATTGATATGAGGTCTCCATAGAAGAGCTTAACTTTGTAAAGGTAAAATATCCATAATACTGATATCTGTGTCATCACACATATCAATATAAAAGTCTGCATGCAGAGATGCAAAAGAGACTTGAGCTCCTCTGTCTTGATTTATACCACTGATAACTGATCAAACGCTGACATCACATGAGGGTAACGGCTCCAGTACCCCACTGCCAAACAGTGCTGCTGCTCCTGTTGTTTTCTGTGTGTCGTTACCTAAATACTTTACACCATGGTCTCATTTTCAGCCTCAGTTCTGGTCCTCCTCCTGTTGTACATAATGAAGCCTGAATATCCTGGTTACTGGTGCTGCCACCTGACACTTTTGACGTAATTAAGCGTCTGCACTGTCGTGATCCTGGTGCTCAGTCGCAGTGTTGACGTCTCACCAAGACGTATTCTCGAGTCCATTGTGACCCTTCACCCTGTTTTTTATTTCTATCAACTTACTAAGTAAAATCAAACCAACCGATATGACTGAAACCATCTTTGAAAAAAAAATGTATATGTACTTTGACATTTTAATTTATATGCTAACATGGAGGTGAAATGTATGGCCTATACTTGGCTTTTATGGGGAGCTGTCATGTCGTCCATCTTTGTATACAGCCTATGGTTGGTGCACTTCCTATTGGAGCTACAGATGGGATGTGTGGCTGAGGGGCAGAGAGGTCGGTTTGATCCCAATCTTTCCCATTCCCAAGTGTCTTTGGGCAAGATATTGAACCCTGTCTTGCCCCTCTTAGTTATTGTCTGCTGAATGATAAAAAAAAAACCAAACTGTGATGCATGATATGATGCGCTGCGGCTCCTTGGTGCCAATGTGTATTCAGCTTTAAGTAACAGCTTAGCTGCACAAAAGAGTTCCTGCCCATTGAACTGAAGTGCCTGCAGTTCAGTATTACTCAGTAGGAGTTTGACTCACCTGCAGACACAAAGAAGATCCCTGCGCTGAGGATGATGTTGTGGCGTGACTTGTAGAACTCACTGGCAGCTATACACAGGCCTCCCATGAAGAGCAGGATGACACTGAGGATGGGGAAGATGCTGGAGGCTCGCACGGCACCTGGTAATCAGCAGAGGACAGTGGTGAGGAGGAAAATAGGGAAGGGGGGAAGGAGGCGAGGGAAGGGAAGGTAGGGGTGTGATTGGTGTTCACACAGCCAAAGGGGCAGCAGAGGAAGAGAGGAAACAAAGAGAGAAAAGCACATTAGAATTCATTTCAGCATCTGCTCCTCGTGTGTGAACACATCCTAATCAACACCCCATCAGGCCTGTGAAAGACTCCATCAACACTGTCTAGTGAGTGTGTGTCCCCACAGTGAGCCTGTTATCCAACCTTATGCAATCACGCTGCTTGACTCTCCCTCCCTCTCTCAGCAAACTTCTCCGCAGACCTCGGAGCGAACTGCCTAGCTGCTTTATATGAACGGCAGTCAACAAAAGGACTACGGGGCTCTGGCATGTATATGAGCCAGGCTGCAGTGCAGAGGCATGTCCTTGAAAAGCAAACGGCGTCCTTGCAGCTAATTATTAAGGAGCGAAAAAATGAAAACAGGATATGATGTCACTTCAGTGGTAAAGACAGGGTCAAAAGAAGGAGATATGTCGTTGGGTAACTGTTTGCAGAGGATGTCTTTATTTTTTCTTCAGTCACCTCCTGCCATCCTTTAGCCTCTGACTTTACCTCCCCACTCTCCTGTTTAACATGCACGCTTAAACTTTCAGTCTGGGTAGATTTTCACCACTTCACCTCATCTCCCCACATGGCTGCCGCCTCAGCACTTTACCCAGCTTCTCCCCAAAGTGCTGATGTTGGGATCGGGTGGCTCCGTGCTGAACTGAGCCACCTGCATCTCTGTGGGGACCCACCGGGGCTCCTGGAGGCCCATCTGCCTGCCTACCTGCTGCCATTCACTGCTCCCCTCCCCGCTATACCTTTCTCCATGTCAGGGATCCACTAGTCCTCAACCCCCCCTGCACCCTGCCACAACATGACGGTCGACACCTTAGTGGGGGAAGCCGCCCTAAGATTGGCGAGTGCTCATTGCTCACCGTCCACTGGGCAGTAAACAAGGGGACGACCAGAACCTGATGAGGCTCCTTGGGCTGAGTGCTGCTGCACATATCCATTATCTGCCAAATAATGTGCCACGCCCAGCTCTGATGAAAACAAGCTTTTTAAGTTTCATTAATGAAACACCGGGAGAGTGGTTCTCCATCACTTTGCTCTGTGACGCCTTAAAACGCAGCAACAACAACTACTCGGGACACCTTGTCAGACCTTAAATACATCAGTGAGATTTCAGCTCATTCCAATTCCACCAGGGTTGTTTTATTTGTATATTTTTATAACCTATCCAGTATTTCATTATAAGAAGATAAAAATGAAAGGAAATGTCACAAAAAATAGAAAATAAACGTATATAAATGTATATGAACCTGTGCATAAACATGGACACATACTGGAGAGGCTGGAGCCAGTCCCAGCTGACATTAGGCAATTGAAGGGGTACACCTTGGACAGGTCACCAGCAAACATCCATTCACAGTTATGGGCGATTTAGAATCTGCAATTCACTTAACCAGCATATCTTTGGACTGTGGAAGGAGGCCAGAGTGTAGTTTTTTATCTTTATTCAAGAGTAGAGATGGGGAATGAAATGACCTCATCCTCATTTTGGTTATTTGGCTGTTATTCCTGTTTTCATAAAATACAGGGGGAAAAGAAACAAGGTGGCATCTATTTTTTAAAATTCTTGCTCATATCGGTGTTTACAACACTGGTTGTAGTCGTGGTGGCTAAGTCCGGCCGAGACACGCACTTGACCTATCCCGAGTGAGTCTCAGCTGTAAATCATGTTTTACTTAGTTTTTATATAATCAAATAACTCATTAAAACCAAAGTTATCAGAAACACTTGAACATACATCGGTGGGATAAGAACTTTAGCAGAAATTCATTGACACAACTTTTTTTAAACCTGGTCCATGTTCCATCTGTTAACAAGGAGGATTTGCAACCTGTACTGCAGTCAGTCACCAGTTGGTTATCAAGAGGCATTGGCTGTCATGCTGTCCATCTTTATATCCATTCAATGATTATGTTAAATGTTTGTATTGTGTATAGTGTAACAAACATACCAGTTTGTAAAACAACTCAAGTACATTTTTTTTCCCCTAAAGTATTTCTATGTAAATGGCAGTCATCAGGACAGCAGTGATTAGAAATATTCTCAATATTCACATATTCTTTAAATGATCAATTCTGTTTTCTTACTGTGTATAAAACCTTTAAACTTGTTTTATGATAATAAAAATATGGCCACAGCTTTAAGTCCGAGTTTAAGAACGTCACACATCATTAGTGAGCACCTTTATGGATGTGCATTTGACCCGACACTGTAATGTCTGTGCTCCACGGTCCGCCTGTATTCATCATATCATCATTCAACATCACCATGTGCTTATCTCTTTCTTTAACCTTGCCTGAAACTGCCCATCCACTGAGCTCCAATCTGTATGATGGAGACGACTCGAGCACCGTTATTCACCTCACTTCCATTTTTCTTCCATCTGTCCATCTCTCGTCTACTGCACATGGTCATCTCGTCGTCTTTGTCAACCGCCAAACGTCCCCCATCTCATCTCATCTTGTCTTTCTCTCTTTTTTTCCTATCTCTCGCCCACTTAATTCACACTCAGTCAAAGTGCAAGACAATTTGAAAGATAAAGTGTTGTCTCGCCCTCTCTCTCTCCCCTCTGTCTTTCTCTGCGACGACCCCCCCCCCTCCCACATGTCTCCTCGCTTCACCACAGGGGATTGTGGGGTTTAGGGTTACATGTGTGGTGGATTGATTAAATATTAAGTTGTCTTGAGAGCTGACCCTGCTCCTGTGTCCTGCTCTAAATGCATCACTCTTCCAAAAACCCCACCGTCACTCCGTTAACCATGAAGGTATTGACATGGTCGTTCACAGCAATTTACCTGAGAGAGGGCACCATGGCTTACTTTTCATTCGTCAGCTTCATTTGCAGAGACAAAAGAGGGATAGAGGGCCAGCTAAATTCAATGATTGTTGACAATCGGTCTGTTTCATAGTGTGGGAGCTCAAGGTTACTCCAAAGTTGGAGGAAACCTCAGAGAGGTTCGGTGGCAGACAAATGTAGAGAGAAGAGGACATAAACAATTAAATAAAAAGCCATAAGAGCTATGTGTGGCAGCTGTTCTTCTCACCCCAATGGCTCGGATTTAAATCTTCTGGAATCCAGGGAGCGTTTGTGATGTTGGAGCTTTCCAGACTTTCCAGGATTCAAGAGGATCCAGCTCATTTGCATGGTTTTGAAGGATCGGCTGGCCTACAGTGTTTCTCCTTCTCCAGTCCCATATACGCATTCTCTGTATTAACATCCATGTTTATCAGCGCGTTTAAAAGTGCAGTGACCTTCACAGTGACCTTCCAGCATACACTGGGCCGTCCCTGGGTTCGGGCTGCAGTTTACTGCCTCAAGGTGCCCCTGGGTTTGGCTGACCATGCTCTACCTCACAAGAAAAAGCCGAAGTCCCTGCACATTTTTCATGCCAGAATGCACTCTGTTCTCCTGCGTAATACTGAGTGGCCACACAGCGCATGTATGAAGCTGCCTCCGAGCAGCTTGTTGCCTGCTGTGAGGGCCAACGATGGGGATTGTCGAGGGAAGATGTGGCAACAACTGTGCCTCAGGGCGGTGGAACTGCTTTTATCTGAGAGGCCACTTATTTAAAGTCAGTCCTCCCTCACCACTTTCTGGAGGTTTCACGTTTTCATTTTCGTTAAGGATCTGCAGAGCCCCTGTCAGCGCTTCAGATCCTGCCTGGGGGGATGTTTAAGCACAGCAGCGCCCCCGGGGGGAGGCAGAGAGAGAGAGAGAGAGACTGACAGGCTGACAGATAGACAGGGACGATTCTCTGCTGTGGACAGGCTAGTGCAGGAAAAAGGACAAGACCATGATACACCATGTTTAGTAGTGCTGAACAGGGCGAGACACATATATTGATTTGTTGATATGTTAAATGGATGTTTGACCTTCTATTTAAATATTAGCTGTTGACTAATAATGTCAGCCACCTCTGACATATTGAAGGTTTCTAACTGGACTCACATAAAACCCTCCTATAGTGTTAAATATATAGTATTTTCAAATGGACCAAAAGCAGCTATTGTCAAAAAATGATACAAAACATTCTGGAACAAAAATATATATACAGCACCTTTGTGCTCTTCATAAGTGACTAAATAAATGCTCCCAACAGTTATTAACACTGTTCATCTTTGCTCCTTGTTGAACTATGATAAAGACATAATAGCTGCAGAAGACTGCATTTGCACACATTTTTGGCAAATTATAGTTTTTGCTGCCACAGTTGCATTAAGTAAAAGTACTAACTTAACAATGTATGTATTAAGTAGTAAAGTATTGGGGGCAAAAATATACTTATCGTATCCAAATTTTAGGGTAATTTTGCAATAAATTGCCCCTTTACTGATATATACTTTTTTGTGTATATGTTCATTGCTATTACTGAGGGATGATTACTGATGAAAAAGTATTTTTCTGAGATGGTTTTGATTTGAACTATTATATACACATGATAAATGACATGATGTGATTATTTGCGTTGATTTGACTGAAATGCCACTGACATCACGTCATCACCTTCCCAAACCAAATGTGATGCTCGATCGCAGTGCATCTGTTACACTTCATAGTTTATCAGGGCGGCCTGGTGAGCGGAGACGATCTCAGCCAGGGTGACATTGTCTGACGGAGGACTCTTGGGAGAGAGAGAGAGAGAGAGAGAAAGCTATGGTGACTCTTCTCTGTGGTAAAATGCTGTCAATCTGCGGCTGAAAACCCACGACCCCGTCCACCTCTGCGGCGTCTTGTGTTTCTGAAGCTCTGGCCTCGGCCCACATGAAAGGATGCACTCGGGAGCACTGTGATTAGCACCGAGGTCGCCATTTTGATTTGGGTTGAGGTCACGATCACACAGAGCAGCGAATCTTCAGTTTCTCCTTCCCGTGAC